TCCGATTTTACTAAGTAACTGTAATTTTCGTTAAATACAATTCGGTTGCCCCACCTGTGTTCTCATTCACTACACTTCCACTTCTGATATAAATACTAGCAATCATAAGATTTAAATTCAAGGCGTCTTACTTGCTTAACTGTAATCAATCCCAATAATAGATAGAATGTATTTTAATGTAACAGATGGTTTTAGCACAACATCGGTCATATTTCATTAGAGCTCATTATCCAGCTCAAAGAACAAATCATTACCACAAGAATATTTAATATGCTCATTTGATTGATTTTGTTGATAGCGGAACAGTAATTTGTGAATAAGACGATCGATTAGTGTGTGAATGTTATTCTTTGTTAGCTTACACTTTTCTACCAGTTATTTGATAAATGAATGGTATATTCCTCATTTATCTTGCTTTATATTAACGTTTGGTTTCAAGTTATCATTTTTTTTTATAAATCAAACTAACGTTTGAACTAATTTTTTTTGTTAAATTTATTAAGTAGCTAAATTGTTCTGTCTTTTTCAGTTCATTTTATTAAATCTTTATTTAACGATTTTATTTGAATGGTACACGATCGATGAAAAAACGCACTGATTCATACTGATTCATTGAATAGTTTCTATTTATTTGAATTAGTCAGAAATAGAGTGATATGTTGTACTTAAGATATGTTTATTTGTAGATAGTATTCATCACACACACTGATTTCATTCTATGTATCATTGAAGATTAGGTAGCACTAGACAATCCTAGCATGAAACTTCTCAGTAGTTCAAGCTCATGACCCTACCGGATTCAGGGTTATCAGGTCCTTTGGTCAAAAGCTTCAATCGATCAAAATCTCACGAAACTAAGAAGGTGATTCACTCCTAATAATTAGACTTACAAAGATCGCACATTTTTTTAAAGCCAATTCATGAAGAATTATATCATAGTTTAAGATGTAAAACTGTTTGACTTGATTATTTTATCAAAGACTATTCACAATGATAATGTCGCCTAGGATGTTAGTACTATTGAAGAAGAGTAGAGGTTGAAACTTCAAATGAAGTTTCTGTCAAACTAATTGCAACTCGTACAATAACTGTTATTGATTATTTACGGTATACAAATGATTAGCAAGTATATTCACTACACCAGTATCATAAATGTCAATATCTTTTACAATGAAATAGTTTATAAATCAATACTTACGGAAATCTAGCTTACATCGAATCCATTCACATGTTGTATGTGTTGTAGAGAAATAATCATCTTAATAAAATACTACGATAACCCAAGTTAATCGGAATGAACATGAAGATGATTCCGTTAACTCAATTGAATTATAACCAGTTGATAAAACTACAGAACTAATTATTGACTTAATGAAAAATAAAAGCCGCTATTTATATAAGTTTCTAGAATTTTTAACCCACATAATGTATGAACTACCAACTCGAGAAATCATTGATCAAAGATAAATACGATTGCAATTTGTCTAGAAATCTTTAAATCCGTAGAAAGTACCAAGAATATCTAATATCAACGAATGTCCTTTAGGAACGTTTATGAAAAATTTGGAGAATGGCTCATCATGCTTTCCATAAGATTACTTATGTTATGAGTGACAAATTAGTTGGTCAACGGGGTGAACATAGTACTTACTCACTTACTTACTTACTTACGCCTGTTACCCCCAATGGAGCATAGGCCGCCCACCAGTTTTCTCCAACCAACTCTGTCCTGGGCTTCCCTTTCCAGTTCTGTCCAGTGTTTGTTCATTCCTCTCATATCTTTCTCTATTTCTCGGCGTAGTGTGTTCCTTGGCCTTCCTCTTTTGCTTTTCCCTTGAGGGTTCCATGTAAGGGCTTGTCTCGTGACGCAGTTGGGTGCTTTTCGTAGTGTATGTCCTATCCACTTCCACCGCTTCTTCCTGATTTCCTCCTCCACTGGAATCTGACTAGTTCTCTCCCACAGTTCGTTGTTGCTGATGGTGTCTGGCCAACGAATACGAAGTATTTTGCGTAGACAACTGTTAATAAACACTTGTATCTTCTGAATGATGGCTTTGGTAGTTCTCCATGTTTCCGCTCCATACAGTAGAACTGTCTTAACATTTGTATTGAAAATCCTGATTTTGGTTTTGTTTGAAAGTTGTTTGGAGTTCCAGATATTTTTCAACTGTAGAAATGCAGCCCTCGCTTTGCCAATCCGCGCCCTCACATCTGCATCGGATCCACCTTGATTGTCGATGATGCTGCCAAGATATGTGAAGGTGTTAACGTCCTCCAAGGTATCTCCATCAAGAGTGATTTGGTTGGTGCATGTTGTGTTGCATCGGAGAATTTTACTTTTTCCTTTATGTATGTTGAGACCTACTGCTGCAGAGGCTGCTGCTACACTGATCGTCTTCTCTTGCATTTGTTGTTGAGTGTGCGATAGAAGAGCCAGGTCATCTGCGAAGTCCAGATCGTCCAGCTGCGTCCTAACTGTCCAGTTGATACCGTGCTTCCCTCTAGATGTTGACGTCTTCATAATCCAGTCGATGACCAGGAGAAAGAGAAAGGGTGAGAGTAAGCAACCTTGCCTGACACAGGTCTTCACCTCAAAAGAGTCTGTCAGCTGACCTCCGTGCACGATTTTGCAGTTGAATCCATCATAAGAATTCCGTATGATGTTAACTATTTTCTCAGACACACCGTAGTGTCGAAGAAGCCTCCACAGTGTTTTCCTATCCACGCTATCAAATGCTTTCTCGTAGTCGATGAAGTTGATGTAGAGTGGTGAGTTCCATTCAATTGATTGTTCCACAATGATCCGTAATGTAGCAATTCGGTCAGTACATGATCGATCCTTACGAAACCCGGCCTGTTGATCTCGAAGTTGGGCGTCTACGAAGTCCTTCATTCTGTTTAACAATACTCTGTTGAAGACTTTGCCTGGTATTGAAAGAAGAGTGATGCCTCTGTAGTTTTCACACTTGCTGAGATCGCCTTTCTTTGGTATTTTGATGAGGTATCCTTCTTTCCAATCTGATGGTACTTGTTCCTCATCCCAAATCTTCTTGAAGAGAATGTGAAATATTTTCGCAGTTGCTTCCACATCTGCTTTCATTGCCTCTGCTGGAATGTTGTCTGGTCCTGCTGCTTTGCCGCTCTTGATTTGTCTGATGGCCATACTGATCTCCTCAATTGTAGGTGCGCCAATATTAATTGGGAGGTCCTTGGATGCTGCTTCGATGTTGGGTGGGTTCAGTGGAGCTGGTCGATTCAATAGTTCCTTAAAGTGCTCCACCCACCTATTTCGCTGTTGTTCAGTGTTGCTGATTATTTTGCCTTCCTTGTTTTTCACTGGTCGTTCTGGTTTACGATAGTTTCCGGCGACCTTCTTTGTTGTTTCGTACAATTGTCGCATGTTTCCTTCTCTTGCAGCCTTTTCCGCCGTCATTGCTAGATCTTCCACATATTTTCGTTTGTCAGCTCTGATGCTCTTCTTCACTTCCCTGTTTGCTTCTGTATACTCGGCTTGCGCCTTAACTTTCTCTGCTCTTGTTCGGCTGACATTCACTACTGCCTTCTTGTTCCTCCTTTCTTCAATTTTTTCATGAGTACCAACAGAGATCCATTCCTTGTGATGGTGCTTCTTGCGACGAAGGACCTCCTGACATGTTGAAGTGATTGCCTCCTTAATCCCTTTCCAATTGTTCTCCAATGTTGCTTCCTCCCCATTGAGTAGATCCTGAAAGGCCTGGAACCTATTGGTGAGGGCTATCTTGAATTCGTTGAGTTTTACGGTATCCCGAAGAAAGGCCGTATTAAACTTGTGTGATGTTGTCTTCCCCGTTGTCCAGTGCTTCTTTAGCTTCAGTCTCATTTTGGCGATCAGCAAGTGGTGATCTGAAGCTATATCAGCTCCTCTCTTGGTTCTCACATCCTCCATGGTCCTTCTGAACTTTTTGTTGATACAGATATGGTCAATTTGGTTTTGAGTAGTGTGGTCCGGTGAAATCCATGTAGCTTTGTGAATGCGTTTGTGCGGGAATATTGTGCCACCGATGACCAGTTTGTTGAAGGCACATAGGTTTGCAAATCTCTCACCGTTTTCGTTCCTTTCTCCCAGTCCATGTCGTCCCATGATGTCTTCATATCCAGTGTTATCGATGCCAACTTTTGCATTCAGGTCTCCCATAAGAATCGTCAAATCCTTTGGTGAACATTTCTCGACGATTGACTGCAGCCTTTCGTAGAATTGATCTTTAACGTCGTCATTGTAGTCATTGGTAGGTGCATAACATTGGATGACATTCATTGTAATGTCCTGTTTCTTTGTTTTGAAGGATGCTTTAATGATCCTCGGCCCATGAGATTCCCATCCTATCAGTGCCTTTTGTGCATGTTTGGACAGCATCAGTAGCCCCTAAGGTTCTACTGGCGGAGTTGGTGAACATAGTGATTTACCCAGTTAGAATCTTGGTTGTGATATGTCAGCTTTGAGGTTGGTCAGGCCTCATTGGGGAGTCCAAATGACTTTTCTAGCATGAATAATGTCATACCCACCACGTGTTTTCATGAGGAATCGGATGAATCGCAGTTTGTTAACATAAAATATAAAATAATCATAGGGTGAAATCTGGATAGAATTACAGAAATAAATCTGTGACGCATAACAGTAGTCTAAATACTTAGGACTTACTTGTTTCCGCTCAACCATATCTTTTACTAGCCATACGTATCACTCATACACTAATTTTCGAAATGGAGCTTTCTTCATACTTCCCATCTCTCGTGTATCGGTTGAGGTTTACATGGGGATCATATAATGCTAGTATCTGAAGTGTTCACTTTACTCAAACACAATTTGTGGTCATAAAACAACTGTCGACACATTTTATGTCCCATCACTGCATCAATCAGTATACAAATATATTAACACTTTTTCCCTGTACTTTCTAAATATTTTTGTCGCATTTAATTTTACTTTTAAAGTTTGTTTCTGTTCATTTTGCTTTGATTAGCTCTCTTGTATGAAGCAACAAATAGTTTCAAAGTACCTTACACAGCAGCAGGCTTTACAATTCTTATATCAGCGCTACTATTCTTGTTAATTCTCTGCTATGATTGGATACTGTATTTGTTTACTTCTGTTAAATCGAAAAAAAATAATAGAGAAATGTAAGTTTATAACTGTTAGAAATAAGTAATATCTATTTGTACTATAACTTTAATTTACCGAAATTTCCTCTATTATTATTATTGTTATTATTATTACTATTAATGAATATAGATAGTCATGTATTGCTTCGTGTACTCTTTGCATTAAGTGACGTTTCGTGTGTAAAAAATATGATAGGGCTTCGAATCTACTGTCCAGTGATTGAAAATTTGAAGCTGTAATATTTGAAAAAACATTTTGATTCCTTTTAAAGATGTCGTCAAGTCCTTCGAATATATATAGTACTTAAAAAAATATCTTGAATGTTGATGGTATATCAGTCACTCAACCGTGAACAGTGTTAGGACCTATCTTAAATGTAAATCAGTCTAATTTGTCAAACTTCGCATAAATGCGAGGTATATAACTTGACTGAACAGCTAAAGAACAAAAAACCTAGAAAAATGCAACCCCAATATTTAAGCTAAAATATAAATTAAATGCCATCGCGTTACTGTGATCTATTTTACACCATATCACTCAACATCAACAGATTATTGTCATTTTGTATGTGTTCCAACAAGTTTGTCTGCACAAACTGACATTTCGCATAGTAATGATAATCATTGACTTCATAAATCAATGTCGTTTGTCATCAACACAAACTGATCTCTCTTGTGTAGGTGTGTTCATAAAGAATGACTGTAAAATGTGGCAGATATCTGCATTCAGTCCAAGCTATCACACTGAATCACCATAACCAAATGAAATCAACTAGGTAAATATCAATGTGGTAGAAACAGGTAGTTCAAAGTATAAGCATGACAGATACTATTCGTCAAAGAATAAGTTCACAGATTGAGATTTAGAAAATAGTTTTCAGAACTTGTGGTTTTAGAGAAAACAAAGAATGAATGTAACTGTCTAACAAGGACCTCTAACTATTGTACGGTGATATCACGTTCTGGTCTGGCCACTCTTATCCTTCTATTAGTGTGCTCCTACACCAGTTGACATCACGTAGAAATGGTGGCTGGCTAAAGATCCACAATCCCATCAGCTAGTATATTATCTCCATCTAGTACCCTAGGTCTAACCTCAACATGGCCTTAACATAACCGAGCAATGCTTTGAAAATACCTAACCTGTCAGTATCATCTATCATTAGGGGCCATATTTCTCAGTCATAAAGAGAAATAGGATGAACTATTCGATAGTTTACTTGTCCAGGATTTAACAGACGAACAACTCATACTGCTGCCTATATTTATACTGTTTAAAAGTATAGCATTAAATAATATATATTTTGACGTAAATTCATTGAACATCAATTAATCATAAGAAAATAAAATAAAAGTGAACGAATTCAAGACCAATGAATTATTCAAAGATGAGATAATCAAGTATTATCATTGATTTGCATTCACCGCATATTTATGTGGCCATATAGATGTTAACCTATAAAATCTATATTAACATAGATCACTGGATATATAGATTAATGGAACAATTGTTGTAGTCTTTTACTCTAAGAGTGAAGTTTTATTAAACAACCTGTTTTTTTTTTAACATTCAATCAATAGACCTATATTAATTACATTTTATATTGGTAAGTAATGATGCGCTGATAGCTATTATTCATGTATATATGAATAAAAATTAAATGTTAAACGTTGTTATTTTGTAATTTGCTCAGAATTTAATCGATTGTCAATAAACATTTTTCTTTTATCAGTTCAGTTGAATCATGATCAAGAGAGGAAAGTGAACCTCACACTATTTTGAAAATATAATCGGTATTATTTTGTAAACTGCAAATTTGTACATGATAAACACAATCATACAAGCATATACGCATACGGTATTTGCTCAGATCTTCAGTTCAATTGAGTAGTATTTTGGACAAGATGAAGAAACACACATGATAAATTTGACTTATTTTTAACAACTTACATAGAGGTTAATAATTAACATTCCTTAATGTATTTTTGATGTTTTCAAAAAAGAAAATACAACAAATTTACACTTGTACAAATAATTAAAACAAGGTTTTTTTTCGAAAAAAAACGTGACACTGATTAAAATTTGAAAATAATGCAATTTGAATGTTTTTGTTTATTTCAATTAGACGAGAATACATAGTATATTATGAATATTTGTGAATATTCACTAGTGTGTATACTTGATGTGGATTCCGGAAGTTCTACTGGGATATCGTGAGCAATGAGGTTCAGACATGTTGGAAGTCGAACATTCATCATGAATGGGATTCGATGATCGTGCCACTATAATGCTAATCGACTGAAGTTGGAAATGAGTATAACTGGCTGTGAAAAAGAGACTAAGTGCAATGTATGGTGAATGAGCGAGTTGGACTTTAATGGTAAACAAGATATGTGTGAATAATCAGGATGGCTCTGTTATATGCAGTCGATAATTAAACCGGCTAGTTACCGAACTGATTGCCCACCACCTTGATCTGACCTTGGTGTACTGATACTGTCTGTTTGTCAGTTACAAACTTGTTTCGAAAATTCGTCTAGATTAATTATATTATGCATAAGTGTAGGCTTCTTCTAATGATTCGGTGTTAATTGGATTAACGTACTCTTGTTTGCATATGCAATGTTATAATAGACCGCGTCTAATCAGTTTCATGTAAAATCGATCACGTGTACCTTTTAATTGAATTGGTAACAGTGCGTTTATGTGTTCGTTCACGTTCAATACGATTTCCTTAGCTCCACGAATTTTCAGTTTCAAAATTAAGAATCCTAACTCGAGAAAACTGAAGACAAATACTTACAAGGCAGACACATATGACCAGTCTCAAACAGTTCCCTCCTGAGATCTCTGTGCTAATGTAGTATAGCAACTTGAACTGATGTATGTACGTACGAAGTTCTACGTTGTAGCTGACTGAGATCTGCGATCACTGTCCCAGATCGACGAAACAGACTACACTAGTTCAGTTCATTTTATGGTTTCTCCAATGTTTAAAATGAAATGAAACAAAAAAAATAAAGAACATTTGATGGTAAAAGATGAGTTCAGTAATTGAGTTGAAATTTTGTATATCTTTGTGATCCATATAGTGTTTTGCAGATTTGTATAGATAGACCAGTTGTTTGTCAATCATAAATATTCTTAACAATCTAGTTTAATTCATTGAAAGTTCAATTTTCACAGCATAGGATTCCTTAAACATGATTTCATATATAATTACAAGCGATTAGAACGTTATTCTAATTTATGAGGTAAACGACTATTGTTATTATTATTATTATTATTATTAAAGTTGGGTAGTTGGCTAGCAGTAGGATACACGATATACAACAATTCGTTTCCACGTAGTAGGACGCATCAACTGGATGTACTTACATTCCCAAACACTTTCAAGTTATTATGATAAAAGTTAAAAACAGTTTACAAAAGCAACAAGTATCATCTTTTTTTTTCATTCCAAATACATAGAATGCTTTCACAAACACCACAAGTAAGGTAAATATATATGCACAGATTATCTAGAATGAACAAGCAAAATAAATACTGAAAAACAAAACAGTATTAATTGTCTAGAAAATACATGAAATCCTGAAAACAGTTTTATATTCATCAAAAAAAAAAGAAGGAAACAATAGTATTGATAATAATAGTAATAATAATAATAATGATATGTTGGTTAATATTCATTTCAATTGCAAAACAAAATCCTATGAAAGACATAGCAAACTAGTAATAAATAATAAAAAAAAAAAACAAACGAACTACACAATGTAAGAATATTTATATCTATGTATATAATGTTTAGTTGTGACATAGTTATATAATTTTAATGTATATGATGCAATATGATTATCTGAAAGAACACAAGAAAAAACGAACAAAGAACAAAATTATTTTCAAATATATTGATATGATTTATGTGTGATTCCTTTTTTTTTGTTGTTGGTGTGTAATAAAAAAAAAACAAATCTTCATTAAGTAGAAATTGTTGATTGTAGTCGATAATGTGTTCGATAACGCTGACGACGATTTGAATTGACCACAATCCATATTGACATTAACATAGCCAACAGGTCAGAGATGATAAGCATAGCGAATACAACAGACCAGCCATATGGAACGAGTAAACCAGTTAGAAGTGGACCTAATGCAGCTCCTGTAATATAAAAACAAAGATCACAAATAAATAGTTACTCTTTATTGAAAGAAAAAACAAGTGTAAGAAAATCGATAGTCGGATCTTAATTTTGTCTTAAGTACACTTTAGCTTGATGCATCGCTAAACAACAAGATTCATAATAACCGGTCAGCTCTGAAAACACAAATATAATGACGATATTAACACACATCGGACAGAATTGTATTTTTTTAAAGAACAAACAGTGCAATTATTTGTGCACGAATTATTGTGAATAGTTAGATGAGTATAATGCTTTTTGTTACCGAGAAGAAGAAACCTACAGTTATTCTGTGAACAAAATTGTTTAGTAAGTGATAAGTAGTGTGTATGGTTCGACGATGATATTTTGCAATTCTAAACAAGATGCACAACGATTCTTTTCTTTCTTAATAACTGTCTTTCGAATACAAATGTAACAACAACATTCTTTAGATAGATACTTATAGTGTATATAATTCTGCACTTTAGAGTTTAAACTTTACTCGCGATATCATAAAAGTTAAACAAGAATTTAAATAAGAAAAATAAAAGAATTGAAAAAAAGAAGAGACAGAAACAACATCAGAAAGATCGATTCTGTTAACTAGGGTGTATTTGTACCATATATTTCGAACAAGACATTTTCAATGAAAATTAATGAGGGTCATTTAAATAAACGTTCAAATAAACATAAAGTGATCATTGTAAATAGAGGAGAAAGAATAGATCATAAAATGGCTTGGAGATTACCAGGGTAAATTAAGAGTGACGACAAATTGTTTCTGTACATAAAAGGGAGGTTTGAATATGCGAATAGCCAAGTCTTTTATACACCTAAGAATTCATCATTGACAATCTCTCTACACGTTTTAAAAGCTGTATTGATGTCAATTTTATGCTCTGTTTTAATTATGTGCTTCACTATCAATCAACGTGGTTTTCTTACTTTCCACGTCTATCGGATTATTTGACATTAACTAGTTTTAAAGCCATCTAAGCATAAACTTAGACTGTATTGTTTGATTAATTCTCCCTATGCATGTGCTCACACAAACATGTGAATTTGTTAATGTAATGGTTTGTACAGTGTCTAAGTCCTTGTGAAATCACAGGCTTAGTGTTTCAATTACAATCAGTTTAGCAGTGTAATATGTATTTTTGATGGCTACTTTTAGTTTTTGTTTTAAAATCATACTCTTTGATTCTCCTTTAAATGATGGAGATAAAAACCCTTTCCCCTTTTAAAAAATGTCTGTGTTAACCAATGTTAACACTAATCCATAAACTTTAGCGGATAACCGTTTGAAATCAACATTTCAGTTAGCAGTTTAGTGTTTTCTTAAAATGTATCTGAAGTACGTATTCTTTGTTTATTTGAACTTTTATTTAATTGACTCTTACTAATTTTTATATAAAATGACTTGAAAGTGTGACCAGATTGTTGGAAATGTATAGTGCAAATAAATACATCACATTTTTCAGATCACACTCCACCTTCTTGTTAAACTATTTATATTAATTGAAAAATACCCATTGTATTATGAAATTGAATTAATTCAATAAAAGAGTTTATAAAGGATTCATACACTGAAGTAATACAAAAACAATGTTGATCGATATTATTTCAAGTGTCTAGTACTTTCGACTTACCTAATGATCCCATTCCATCAATAATCGCTGTAATTGTAGCTAAAGCACGAGCTCGCCCTTGTAAAGCTGATTGAGTACCCAAGTCAGCGGATACAGCAGTTGTAACTAGTGCATAAGGTCCATTGATTGCAGCACCGCAACATGTAAGTACAACTAAAAACAAAACACCAAGAGTATGCTATCAGATAGAAAAGTAGACACACACGTAGGCAAGTAAGGTTTGTAATGATTGTCTGTCAAATCAATATATCATAATCCAAACAACAAAATAAAAAAAAACATTCTTTAAGCATAACGAGTGTTGCTTTTCAAACAAGATAAAGAATTATGCTCAGGAAAACAGTAAAATCTCCCAAAATATAGTTGATTTTTCAGTGTTGTGTCTTGTAATCGCTGACTAACAGTCATGCTTTAAGTCACCAATGAATCACAATGCTGATTTAGTCGATTCTGCGTCTACTACCAGCTTGACAACCTAGTGTCCTCAAGTCGACCAATTACACGTCTGATCAGCACAACGGACTCTGCGCCGACATCTAGGCTCCTATCGACCCGTTATTCACAAGCTTCAACCCATGCCCTACCCTACACTTCAGTTCAAAAGTAGCACTAACGGCCTACTATATTTATAAAACAAAAAGATGTGCTTTATATACAGACATACCGGACCGCGTCACATCATGAAGTGGAAAGTAACAATCATACAAGAAAAAGCTAAAAGTGCCCATGAATAAGCGAAATCGTGAGTCATAAACTGGCCGTAAATGAAGAACAGTAAATCGCATAATAGCAATAAATGTATCAACTGAAAGCCTATGGTAAATGAAATATATATATACATATATATATACTCAATAATTATACAACAAAATTATAGTCCGTTTTAGTGCGAAAAACCAATCTTAACTTCTACAACATTCATTTCATTAAAACACAAAGATATGTAACTATTGCAATCCCCATGTGTGAGGCGACCCAAACCAAAAGAGGTCAACCCCCTGATTTATTTGCCTAGTAAAAAGAAAATCTTAACTATTTATTCTACTTCGAATTAATACGCTCGTGTTGGATGAAGTTGAACAGAATGGAACGTTTAAGCGCAATTAACAAAGATTAGGAATATATTAATCAATTCCAAAAATAGTTAACTTGAAAAAGGGGAGGGTTATCTACGTTTGTAGGAGAAAGTTAACTGTGAGTGTATGAAAAGAAACTCGTAGTATGAAATAATATTAGTCATATACATGAGTAGACTACTGATAGATTTATTTGGATAGATAACATGAATGACTTATTCATCTATGACTAGTGAAATTAATTAACAATTTTTGAAAACTAAACACTAATGAATTTAACTTACATAGTGATGTTAACGAATTTCCATAAGTCATAAAACGATAAGCTAATAGCTGTAAAGACAAAAAGTAAAACTTCAGTATCGTTGAAATTATTAGTCAGAAATAATTAGATATAAAATTATGAATATACTTTCTCAGAGTTATCGTTATATGTTTTAATAAATAGTAGATTCTTTAGATAGCGAAATTATAAACACATTTAAAGTAGTCTACTAATCTGTGTATTCATTCCACTTGAACGAACAGTTTAAAATTATATTCATATAATGTAGATAGGAAAGGGGACACAAAGTAATAAAGTCAATTTTAAAAAAAAGAGAGATTATCAATGTATTTTTCTATTTTAGATTAAAACAAGTTATACATTAGGTATGGCATTTGGATAGATTTGCTAAACAAGCTTGATTCTAAATAAGAATGATAATTTTAACTTACCAAAGGTGCCGCACAAGCTAACATAACAAGACAAGCAACTGCACGTCTTTTGATTGTTTTTTCATCTTCGTTAAGATTTTGTCCATTTGACTAGAACAAATGAAAAAAATATACATACAGAACACTGTTGATGAACATGAATAGCTGCTAAACTGATGTAAAATAAGAGAACATTATTTCATATATTTTATTAAAACTAGTAAATAATTAGAAATACATTAACATTATATGTGTTGTCTGCATATTTGAGAAAATTATTTGATAAGGACAATCATAGTATGATAATTAATTTCAAGAGAAATATAATTGTGATTGGATTATTAGAATTCATTGTGAGTTGAATTATAACACTCCTGTCACAACTACCTCTTATTAATAGTGTTATAGAGAGATGAATATCCAGAAAGCTGTAACTCTTGAAATTATTTTCTAGATTATCATCTTTTTTTAATGAAAATAGGTTATTGTAATATAATCATTGAATGACTGGACTAGTGTACTGTCGGCTACTGATAGACTACTGATCAATGGTTGTTGTGCACTTTAGCAATGTTTAATTATTATTGCCAATTAATTATATACCGTTTGCTCTGTTCTTCCTCTCATGTGGCCTGATTGTAAAGAATGATACACAAGATTTGATGTGTCACAGTCTGGTAATTTATATATATATATAAACCGAAGCGTTTGAAATATACGAATATGAGAGTGTGCCTGTTGTGTTCTTTTGTTCACTTAGGATGTCAGTTCATATATAAAACAGTATACACGGGACAGCGAATTATAACTTAGAGTTCTGATTAGTGTACATCTTTAGAGATATCGATCAAAATCTCTCACTTATAATAAATACACTGGCATTAATTCGTCAGTGGAATCAAGTTAACGATTATGTTTAACTTAACTAATGAGAGTTTCATTAAACCACTTTTGTCTCAACTCATAATAGTCTTTATGACCTATTATGAAGTGATGAGCAATGTATTCAAATCCACCGAATATAATGTGATAATGAAAATGTCTTTTGAACATATTCATGTAAAAAAGTAAACTGTCATCTTTAGAAAATATCATTGATAGAACAAATAAATTAGTAATGACCAAGTGCAAGTGAACAGTTGTCAAATGAACGACAGGTGAACGGTTTAGTTCATTATTTCAAGTGTTTAGTAGATTATTCATCCAACTTTCTGTGTAATGGCTTAATTCACTGTTCAATTCTCTGATTGTAGCTTCTACTTTTACTCTACTAACATCATTATTGTTGCATCTGTTATTTTCATTATATACTACAGTTCATTGTAAAGACTATTTGTTAATCATTTGTTTTCACTCTTTTTTATCGTTTTTGAAGTGTGACGAAGAAATTTTCTAAGCACTGTATGTTACACATATTTGAATATAGTTTATTGTTTGTAAAAAGAAAACCCATTTGAAAGTTAATAATTTACTTTAACATAATATATTGTATGCTTTTATCTCTAATTTTTAAATATATAAAAACAAAACTTACTTGACTATCACTAAACCATCCTATTAATACACCACCAATTATGCCACCAACATCAAATAATACAGAAAATTTAGCAGCTTGTTCAGCTGATATATGTTCAACAATAGTTAAATAGTTTGGTAACCAATAAAGAAATGTATATGAAACAAGTTTTGCAAAGAATAACAAAAGTGAGTAGGTAAAAACATTCTGTAAAATAAAGTAGAAAAAAGAGAAAATAATAATAAGGATAAAAGTTCATAGAATAATTTACAAATATATTTTATGTATGAATTACCGTATATAGAGGAGACTTTGTGGAGATAATTGAATTTTGTATGGATAATAAACTGTTATATTGTAAAGTGATTGAGTCTGTTATTTATATACAAAGCTTCTTATACGCTAATCTATCCGGTTAAACGAGTGAAACAAACACTCAGAATGAGTAGGAAATTTTTAAAGGCTAACCAAAATCAAAAATATATGTACAATTCATTCATAAACTAATATCCCTATTCTTCATAAAAGAAAGACATTTTCAAACTACACAGACAGGTCAACATCATCTATCACTCATCAATTGACTTATATCTGATTGCCTGTCTAGCCATTCCTATGGCGTAGGCGAGATATCCGTTTGTTGACTAAAGGACGAGTGTACTGTGCAGTAGTTCGCTCCGTCTTACTTTATGGCTGTGAAACATGGCCAGTGATAGTAGAAGATATTCGTAGGTTACTAGTTTTCGATCATAGGTGTCTTTGAAGCATTGCTCGTATATCGTGGAACAACCGAGTCAGCAACGCTGTTATTAGGAATTGGGTGCTAGGTAAGAATGGCAGATCAATAGATGAAGTGCTGAAACCTCATCAATTGAGGTGGTTGGGACATGTGTTGCGTATGCCTAACCACCGACTGCTTCGTCGAGCTTTGTTTTGTAGTGTAGGAATAGGTTGGAGGAAAGTTAGGGGCGGCCAAACCAAAACATGGCAGATATCCATGAAGTCATTTACGAGTGGACTTAGCCATTTCGGTAATTGTCGACTACCTGGTTGGGGTCAGCGAGATGATAATAATCGATGGGTAGAGACCCTGAATGACATGGCTCAAAATCGTTTGCAATGGCGCCGGTGCATTTATTCTTTGTGTTCTCTCAAATCCTAATCTTCTGGATTCTTCAACACCTCTAGTTTTTACTTTCTAACTTATCTCATTGAATCATACTTCGTGAATAATATCTTCTAATTCTAACCTCTGCGAATACTTCTAATACCTTTACTAACTCTTCTACTATTGGATTTGAATTGACAATTATATCTCTGTGCTGATGTGGTATGGCGACATGAACTGATGTACTTACGTACGAAGTTCTAAGTTGCAACTGACTGACATTTCTAGCTTTTAATTGTTGTCTTACTAACATCAGTTGGTGATTTTAACGATAAAAATTTATTTATGAACGTTGAGAATATAGCTTAATTTTAATCTACTGAGTACACATTATTGGAAGATAACTAAATTCTTAATATATATATATATATATATATATATATATATATATATATATATATATATATATATATGAACAAATTAAACCTTCACTAAGAAATGAAGCTTCGAAAACAAAAAATGTACATGCTGGGAAGTAGTAATGTGTTATATTAAAATATCACATAAAAAACTAGCTTAACAAATATACATATATCTGTGGAGTCATATAAATGAATTAAAATTACCTTACGAAAAACTTACAGGTAATAGAATAGCTTCAATAAAACTAATTGGTCGAATGGCCTCATTATTCGATATTAGAGGCTTCAAATCATCTTTGTCAGATCTTTCGCCGCCGAGATTTGTCTGTAAAGAAATGGCACAACAATAGCGTTATTAAAACAAATACAAAATAATGCACAAAAATGTTTAGTCATTATTTCATGAATTCAAGCGGCATTTAAATCTGAAAACATGTTTTATACACAGAGAGACGTAGTTGGTTCAGTTTCATTCTAACGATTAGATTGAGTAACTAAAGTTTAAATCTAATTTATTGGAATTAAGATGCTTGTTTAGAATAATCCACAAAACAAAACAGAGCCATTTTCATGTAACGATTGAAAATCTACTTTACTTTCAGTCTTGTGAATCATTTATAGGTTTGCTTATTCAGCCAACAAAACTGATGTACAAGACAAATCAATCTGAAAACAAAATTTGACAAGCATCAACTTACACATATTAAGTTGAATTTGAGCAAGTCGTTTGAATATTAGCTATTGTTTTGAAATATTTAACAGATTTCTCTTGTGTTGCTTAATGACAGGATAATGCAATCCAAGTCTGTATTATGGGAAATACGTAAAAATATTACCTACAGTAATTTTTTATTTTATTTACTGACAAACTTAATGTTTTAATGCCATTTTTACAATTATATTCAGTACTGCTAAACTGAGCAATAATAATCCCACTGATATAATTTGGTTGAGATAGTAGGCATCCAGGAGGTAACACTAACACTAAAATCGAGGAAATAAGTTTGCTGTTGGCAGATGATTTAGCTCATAGATGAGCATTAACTATATCACAATAAATTCCATTGATTCAATTTAGTTAGAACTGATGAAAAAAGTTTATGATTATTCTTTATTATGATATATATATCATCAGCCGACGTGAAGTAGCTGCAACAAACTGAGTTACAAAAAAATCGAAACATAAATTGATTCTGTTTAATACACCCAGAATTAATTTACTATTGTATTGGGTATGAAAATTGGAAGAATGTTTAATAAATACAATACATTGAAACTGAACCACAGAGGTTGAACTGTTTTTTTTTACATGTCACATATAAAATGTTGCTACTCACTAAAAACCATATTCAAGTTCACTTGTTGTTCGGCAAATTTCAAAGGATTTCTACTCTTAGAATTGATTTTATCAATTGATATATAAATAATAGAAGCTTTTAAAATAGCGAATGAAGCATGTACTGACTGCTTCATATTATTTATATCCTTAAAGAAACAGATTTATTAATTAAAATCACTAACTAATGACAAATAACTAATAAACATTAATAAAATGATTAAATTGTAATAAACAGTTGAAAGATATGAAACAAGGTGTTTAAATTCTTAATTTTACGATGAGTTGGCGGTTATATATATACAGTTCATGATATCTACTCATTTTATATAAAATTGTTCAGAAATTGTCTCTATAAGGATTACTCATCAAACTAAGCTTTCACTTTAATTCAAACCTTACAGTTGCAAAAAATAAGAAATAACAGACATTTCCAACAGTATCTTGGACTCGACAGAGACCAAACGTTTCTTAAATAAATTTAATGACGAATGATAAACATTCTGAAAACCATTTGTCAACATATACATACAAGTAAAGCTTTCGTCTATAGAACACTTTATTCTTACTGATACCATTATTTATTTCCAAAAACGAATAGATTTTCAGACATTACTTCAAAATAACATGAAGAAAACTATGGATGGATGTACAATTACCTCAAATATGTTTCGCGACATTGAAATTTGAGAACCTGTTTTGTCTGAACCAACACAGTTATAGGTGACCATGTTAGGATGCTCTATAACTGTGAGATAGACAACCAATGCTCCAATCATCATGATAAAACCAGGTAGATAAAAAGAAGCTCCCCAATTCGTTTCAACATAGAGTCCAGCAATGATAGAACCAATGATATTTCCTAAACTTGTGTGAGAATTCCAAAGACCCATAATAAGTCCTCGCCTATAAGAAAAACAAAAAGAACACAAGTGCAAAAGCTAACAATAAGGAAAGAAAAGTTTCTCTAACAAACTAAATTTCATAAATTCAGTTTACTGAGGTCAAATGGTTACATAATAAATACTACATGATAAATGAATTGAAATACTTTTACAATAAACTTCAGATGAGCTTGATTTTAAAAGAATTTACAGTCGAAGCTGTTTATTAATCATTAATCGCCTTAGATTGGGATTTTTAACCAAATTTTCTAATTCAAAATAACAATAAAATGAATTAACTGATTGAATTTAATATAGGTTTTGTTTGTTTTGCTTTTAGTTAATAGTGGACACGAAGTCCGAACCGTTTTAATACACAACTCGGGAATAATTCGTTTTTAATAATCGTACACAAACTACTATATAGTAAATATAAACGTTAGATGTCAGTATCGATATTAAATGTAAAGCTTTTCTACAGACCTGCTTTTGCCCCACCAATTTCCCATCAAAGTAACTACAGCTGGCCATCCAGAAGCTTGAACAATACCAGAAAATACCTAAAAGTAAGAATCAAACAGTTCTTACCTGTATGAAAACGAAGTATGAGTAATGATGTATTTCGAAGTATGAAGCTAGTCCAAATGCAAAAGTGGAAACTCCACTAAGGAACATTCCGATGGATAAGAAGTATCTAAGATTGACTCTTTCTGCAAGAAAGCCACTAGAAAGTAGTTTAACATCTTTTAAACTCACCTTAAAATCATTGAAGCTGCATAAACAAACAAATAAATGTATTCAAGGCCACCCAACAACTGACTCCAATTGTCAGAATCTAAACATAGTTAACCATACGACAAAAACTACCGAACGGTTTCCAGCCCTTTGAAGGTTTTCCATCTACGCTAGGATGATGAAGAACCGTTTTAACGATGCTAAGCGGTTTTCGTGAAGCATGGTAAAATGTGTAGCAAAAGTAAGTAAGTAGGAGAATGTATATTGCTAGTCTGTCGGTAATATTGAATAAACAAAGAAAATCATACCTCCGGAAGTCATTTAGCAGTACCAAAGCTTGTAAAGGTCTATAACAAGGAGGTAATGATCGTTTCATTAGGATAAACTAACAAGAGCCAGACTGCTGAAATAGTTTATGCGCCATACGCTCAACTGTTAGAAAAATTTAATCTACCTTGAGGTGTTGTTAGTGAATCCACAAAGTGGGTGTAAGTTGACGAGTAACTCAAGAATCTAGAGGATAGAGTAAAGAAAAACAAATCGAAAACTCATTAAGTACATAAAACATCTACATATAGCAATTTCAAAGGACAAGTTTACGGTGCAGCAGCTCGCTACGTTCTACTTTATGGCTGCGAAACATGGCCAGTAAGAGTAGAAGATATTCATAGTTTACTGGTTTTCGATCATCGGTGTCTCATAACCATTGCTCGAATATCCTGGGACTATAGAGTAATCAACGCTGTTGTTAAGAAACGGGTACTAGGTAAGAATGGCAGATCGATTGAAAAACTAGTGAATCTTCATTAGTTGATGTGGTTGGAACATGTGTTACGTAAGCCTAACCACCGAATGCCTCGACGAGCTATGTTTTGATGTAGGTGTAGGTTGAAGTAAAGCTAGGGGCGGCCAAAACAAAACATGGCACAAATCCATGAAGCCAATGACAACTAGATGGAACCATGCAAGTAGGTATGGACTACCTGGTTGGTGTCAGCGAGATAGTCTTAACCGATGGTTATAAACTGAATGACATGGCTCAAAATCGTTTGCATTGACTCAAGTGCATCCATTCTTTGTCTTTTCTGGAATTCTAACTTTCTGGATTTCTCACGACTTTTTTCGATTGGGTCATGATTCTTGAATCATATCTTCGAACCCCAATCTTTTTTATTACCACTAATACCTCTACTATTTCTATTATTATGGGACTTGAATTAGCATTTCATCTCTCAGTGCTACTGTGGTATGGCAACTTGAGCTGATGTACGTACGTACGCAGTTCCACGTTGTAGCTGACTGACTGACATGTGGCAATAGTTTACACCGCTATGAAAACGCATTTCGGTTTACTTTCCTTGTTAAAACAAATTATTTTATGGACCTTAACTACTGAAAATTTTATTTTCGGCATGGAATTCGTCTACCCTACATAAAAAAACGTAACAGCAGCGTTTTCTATGACAAAGATGATCGAATACTAGCAACTTATGAATACTTTCACTTCTTAGTGACTATGTTTGTGTTGGAACGCAATTCATTAACTAAAACAATGTGTTCGTGTTATAATATTTTAAATACTTGATAAGGCAGGATGCTCTATAATAATAGAATAGAATTATAAATGTTTCAGTTAATAGATCAACATTGGTAAAAGGCCAAACGTGTGTAAATAGACTTCAAATAATAGTCACAAAGCTCCGTTAAAAGTATGTGATGAGAAGAGTGTAAAATAATTAGATGGTGAAGAATATAAGCCGAAAGAGGCGAAAAAATTACAAACAAATACAGTATGTGAAGATAATGCCAATAATAATAATAATTGAAAATAAAAAATTTTAAAATCGTTATAGAAGAGTCTGAATTATAACGATTACAAACAAACCAATAAATAATAAATTAAAAATCTGAGATGAAAAGACTATCAACGTAATATAATGTTTGGAAAGTTGAAAACAAAGTGAGATTTTAAGTACATCCACAACTGTTTCGATAATGTTCAGCAAGTTCAAAACACTATGATGCCTACGTTGTATGACATGTTCAAACGTCAGGCGAAAGAGTACACAACTATGGTATAAACATTTATATATTGAGTACCTCTGAGACAAAACAGTGTAAACAAATTTATTTACTCGCTGAAACTACCGAATTTTCAGTTAACCGGGAGTTAACGGTTGTAGATGGTGTTTTCAATATATAATAACAAACAGCCTAAATCTATAATAACTAGACAGAACTGTTTGACTAGGAGAAAGATTTGGGTTATAAAGATAGGATGTGACCGTTACGCATCTTAAAGTTTGACTTGTGATCCATGATGGAAAATGCTAAGCAGAACAATTTCTGTGCTGCAAAGTGTAACTAATTGTCCAAAAACGCTTAACAGGCAAACAGAAAAGTTTGTTGCATCAGAAAAATCCGAAAAATCGAGTCAACGCGAGCGAATAAATCGGCGTCATTAGCAGGTTAATTACGAATCAAACTATAATTATATGAAGGAAATATCTGTGCAAAACCTGGCTGTAACTAAATGGATATAATTAACAAATGAGTCAATCCATCTCAAAATAATCTTTGTGTAATTCACGTCATAAATCGATTTAAAATGCTATGTTCTGTGAGCTGCAGACATCTCCAACTAAAATGATTTATTTGACAATTTGGAAGGTGAATGACTATGATGTCATAAGTTCATGTTTATCCTAGTGGTCAGTGCTTTACACAGCACATAAAAAGTAACGTTTTCGATGAGAGATGGGAAATACATACTGAAAATAAACCAGAGGAGAAGTGGTTTAACATCAAGCCACTTGTAAAGTTGAGGACATGTCATTCGAATTTAAAGGTTAGATATGATATTAATACTTACTCTCAAAAGTGAAAATTCTTATCACATGATTATTGATGAAACATAATGCCGAATAAATTAAATCCAGACAACTATATATTCGTCTCAGAAAACAATAACTGGATAAGTGTGTGATTATCGAGTGCATTAATTAAGGTTGGCTAATTTAGCCCCCGTAACAAAAAGTCGTAGTAAATACATTGAATTACTTACGCTTATTAATTGGAGTGAATGATAGTGGCTATATGGAGGAAATGTAAAAATTCAAAGCTATGGAGGTGACGTACAACGTCCCTTAAGATTTTGAATGCACAGTCAATGATGTGCGTCTTAATGACCCTGAAACATCTAGTCTATAAGAACATTGAAACATAGATCAAATAGAATCCAAGTAAAATAAGATTATAATCAGATATAATGTGATAGTAATTTATGCAAGAGTCGTATCGATCATGTTAACTTGAAATCTAGGTCTTGGTTTAGCTAAAATTAGGTATAACAATAGGAAGCTAAAAGGATACGTCGGCTGACTTCGTTTAAGATACTTACACATCTTGATCTCAGAAGGCTCCAGTCTTCCTGAAATCAAAACCCCTAAGTATAAAAACAACGAAGAAGCTGACCGTTTGAATTCACAATTTCTGAACTTTGTTGAAGAAACTGGTTCATTCGAAAATTTGAAGTTACGAACTCTGGAGAAAAAGCTGAATAAAGAAGCCTTCCGAATAATCACTTCTTCGATGTTCTCAGAACGTTTACCTCACTTTGCAATCCGCGCATTCACATTTTCATCAGATCCACCTTGGTTATCGATGATGCCGTTTACGAAGGTATATAAACCTAATAACTCCTCCAGAGCTTCCATATCGAATTTTAAGTCTACTTCCCTAGAGGCTACCATCACTCTAGTCATCTTCAGCTGCATTAATTGCTGTATGTGGGTTGGAAAACCTAGGCCATCTATGAAATCTAATCTGCCTACTCAATTTAGTGATTCCCCTCTGATCCAGAGGTCTTCGTCATTCAGGTAAATCAACAGAGCAAATAAAAAACAAGATAAAACAGCCTTGTTTGTCATCGGTTGTATTAACTAATTGCAATGTAATCGTTAATGAACTCGTATAAAATAATGGTTCATGATTAAATGGTGTAACAGATTGTCGGCAGTTGAATTTCTGGAGAGTTACTGCACGTCTAGGAAGTAGAAAGGAAAGAAAAATGTTTTATTTTAAGTATGACTGAGATTCCTCCAACTAGTAAAGTAATTCAGTCCATTAGAGAAATAAGGCTGACTGTAAATAATGTTTTGACTGGCCTCATTATTCTTTCTGATATTGTAGTTGATATTTGAGTCTTCGAAGTTTTTGGTTGATCAGAAGAAGCTGTGGCGTGGCCATCAGACATGGAATATGATGCATACTTACCATTTTAGACACTGGGATGATTATTAGGATAAATAAAATGCTTACCGATTATTGTAATAATGGGATATTTTGTCTAAGACATCAGGAATATCGCGTGTCGTAACTTTCATTATCATAATATTGCTCTTCACATTGACATTGTCAAAATACATCTCGCTGGATCTAAATAAGTAAATGAAGTAAACAATAATTTGGATGACCAATCATCAGTTAGCTGTTTCAACTATAGCATTTACTGAGTAATATTAGGGAAACTGAAAAAAATCGCTACTACTATATTGCATTACGTTACCTTCCTTTTATATAGTGTCGGAGAAACGAATTCTCGCTGTCTGATTTTCATAGGCTACACTTATTACGATTCACCATGTATGCTACCTTAATAGGTCTATAGTAGGTAAAAATGGTGAACATCGTACTTCGGTCACACACCTGAAATTCTTGATAGCTAAATTTACTGCTAGTTTTAATTGCATGGGCTTGAATCTTTTCGAAAGCATAAATGATAGTTGATCAAGATCCCATAAATAATGCTTTAAGACGGAACAGGCAGTAAAAGCTTAGACTCAAGCAGCTATATGTAAGTGCCAAGAAAGACATTTAGCTGATCTCCTTTAAAAATAAAACACTAGGATAATAGACCAGGAGTGTTTACTCTGTTAGTTTATGTAGACACTGTATTCAAAATTTTTCCCAGTCGCATGATGATATTATGTGCTTGACTAAGATCGGTCAGCTCCGCTTGCATCCTGCTTGATGTAAAGACATATGTGATTAACTGAATAACTCTGCTGGAACTGTCAGCACCTTGTGATCTATTATCTACTTATAGTTTATCACAACTGAACTTAACAACGAATGACAAACTATTTCTTATCCATTGGGTATCTATGTCATCAGAATAGTACTGATATTATATTTGGAGTGCCGTTTAGCATGATTTATTTGACTCTAAATTTCAGCTTTACATGGTTTCTTTATTAGATGATGAACAGATTAATGTAGGCTTTATTCTTCTATATTCTTGGCAACAACTGACAAAGTAGTGGTGCATTAAATAAAGCAAGGACAACGATTAGGGCGTAATTATATGAATTCACTATGTAGATAGTATGATAGATCGGTATTCAGTCGAAGTCGAGAATACCATCCACATCAACAAGGTTCTTCATTTTTGTTGAAAAGGAACCATCAGGAACAATATATTGTGGCAGGAAACTAATCATCTTCCACCTACGGAAATAATTCGAAAACCGCCCGAGGTGAAAACGATACACACGAAGGAAATCGCCAGACTACATCACATGGTCAACCCAAAACTTGTAATCCTCAAGGCGAAAAAATGAGAAAGATCAGACGGCACACTGTACCAGGAATTGGGGGCGAACAGCGAAGGGGTGGGTATAGAATCCTTTTTGGAATGCTTTATTTGGGAAAATCCCTCCACGTATACATTTGCAACATGTTCTTATCGATTCTTTCAATTCTACATTTCGATGATCTGTTTAATTCCATTCTGGGATGTTAAGATTTGTATTTTGTTATAGTTTTTATTTTTGCACCTTTTTGAGTTTCTATGTTTCCTTCCGAACTGCATTACGTTGTTTACCTTGATACTTAATTATGGCGACAGCTATATCGAATCTGATCCTCTGGCAGCTGGTACGCTCATCTGGACTGGAAGTGTGCAATTTGGATCGGAAATTGGAGCATTTTTCCAGAATTGGAAACACTTTGTTTTATTTTTGAAGGAGTAACAGTTGTACTATTGTTTAGGTAATCACATATATATATATATATATATATTTATGATTAATAACAAAACCCCTACTTACCCAGATTAATTGCTTTTTAGAATTTTACCAAGGCAAGGATCGTATCTAAACTTCCTGAACCGTTATTCCTAAATCCACCTCTGTGCGGATATAATAGTAGGTGGCAGTTGACAACAAATGGAAAAAAGAGCCCAGGATAAAGTTAGGTGGAAAATCTTGGTCAGTAGCCCGTGCTATATGTGAGATAATTGAGAATTTCATTGACATTCCTCAAATCTTAGATATTATCAACAGACAATAAGCGCAAAATACCTTCAGTTCGGCATACCAGTATTAAGAAATTCAGATGCATAGTGTGCTTTCAGAAGGAAGCAGTTATAAACAAATCTCTTCCTCGATAAATCGGCGTCTTTGACTGTATCACTTGAAATTATCATTTTTGCTACTGACATTTATTTTTGTTATACAACGTTTGTTAAACTGTTTCTTGTTTCATGTCGGCCAAAACCTTTATTTAATTCATATTTTTTCATTCTTTTAATTCTCAGAACTTATACAAGATTTCTTTAAATTCTGAATACTTACTATTAAACTTTTTAATTTTTAATTCTATATAATTACCTCGTGATAGCCCTAAATTTATACTAACATCCAGGTAGCCTTTGTCTCATGCAAATTTTTCGAGACTCCGATATTTATCACATGACCCGTATCACAAGTTTTAAGACACCATTTAACCATTTCTGCACCCCTAGTTTTTCTGAATTCCATCTTCGAAAGACCTAACACTTGTTTATGCGCAGATCTACATATATATGGTCATTAACGGTTATCTCTAATTAATAAGTAATTAATAATTATCTCTAATCACTTCCGTCATTAGCGTCAATTACTTCAAGCTAAATCATACCTTAGTAATCCATTTTAATACATATATGCTTCTGAGCATTCGATAAGAAACTGAGCAGGAGAACAGATTCATGTTATTCTGCCCTATATGGTTTATGGACTTATTTAAGTCCGCGAAGGAAACCAACTGAATGATACATTGGTACATATCTATCTATATCCGTAAACTAATCTGGTAAGTGTGGTATACGTAACTAAGAATCTTTAAGGAGCACAGGGCGTTTTGTTGCGTTCCGGCTTTAATTACCATATGTGGCATTAGTGACAATCAATGCGCACTGTACATTAACGAAACATCATCAAAAAGTGGGCTTTTAAATTGGGTCATATCGATCCCGTGATGAGAGATCTTTCATGCTTTCAAATTTCTAACTTATATACTCAGCCGAATTAAGCATGCTCTACAAATGATTAAACCTAGAGCCGAATGGAGTTTCAAAACGATGAATCTATGGGTTAAACTCAAGAATGAATACCCTACGGTACAGTCAGTGGTTGAACAGATGGGGTGATAATATGAGATAACCATACAAGCTTAGACTCGCTTACTTATTTACTTACTTAGATCTTTTACCCCCAAAGGAGCATAGGCTGCTGACCAGTATTCACTAACCAACTGTGTCTTAAGCTTCCTTTTCTAGTTCTTTCCAATTTCTGTTCATTTTTCTCATACCTTTCCCTATTTCTCGGCGCAGTGTGTTCTTCGGCCTTACTCTTTCCCATTTACCTTGAGGGTTCCGTGTGAGGGCTTGTCTTGTGACGTGGTTGGGTTCTTTCCGCAGTGTGTGTCCCATGCACTTCCACCGTTTCTTCCTGATTTCCTCCTCCTCCAGTATCTGGTTTGTTCTCTCCCGCAGTACGTTGGTGCTGATCATCTTTGGCCAACAGATCCGAACTATTTTGCGTAGACAACTGTTAATTAGTACTTGTATCTTCTGGGGTGATGGCTGTAGGATTTAATTGGTCCTACAGATGTGATTCTAAAACAGTAAATGCAATACTGTCGCTCACAGAATCGATGGTAAAGCTGTAGTCAGAACAAGGAAAACTTGGTTTTAAACTTTATCCGTTTCTAAACAAAAAAACGATTAAATTAGTACAATAAATAAGGAAATTACAATTATCAAGTAAGATGAGCAAACGTACCGACCAGTATAGCGCGTCTTTAGAAAATGAATAAAAACATGAGTCACATCAATATAAAATAAAATAATAACATCCTTCAATTGATAGGTCATTCACAACAAAGAAAGTTTACAGACCGGTCAGACTAGATAGCATGGTGAGCGCTTAACCAATCTGATTGGTTAGTTATGGCATAACTACAATTAGTTATGGAAATAACTAACAATGGCTTTGGTAGTTCTCCAAGTTTCCGCTCCATACAATAGAACTGTTTTTACATTTGTAATGAAAATCCTGATTTTAGTGTTGACTGATATTTGTTTTGAGTTCCAGATGTTGTTCAATTGTAGTAATGCAGCCCTTGCTTTGTCAATCCGCGTCCTCACGTCTGCATCGGATCCACCTTGGTTGTCGACGATGCCGCCCAGATATGTAAAGGTGCGAAATCCTCCAGGGCATCTCCATCAAGAGTGATCTGTTCGGTGCATGTTGTATTGTATCAGAGAATCTTGCTTGTCCTTTATGTATGCTGAGACTTGTTGCTGCTGAGGTTGCTACTACATTGGTTTCCAGTCTGCTGGTACTTGTTCTTCATCCCAAATCTTGTTGAAGAGAATGTGAAAAATTTTGCAGTTGCTTCCATGTCCGCTTTCATTGCCTCTGCTGGAATGTTATTTGGTCTTGCTGCTTTATCGTTCTTCATTTGTCTGATGGCCATACTAATCTATACATTTATTGTTAGGCTAACTTTTATTTGGATGTGCGTGGATCCTGCGTCAATGTTGGTTTCAATGGAGTTAGTCAATTCAGAAGTTCCTTTAAGTACTCTACCCACCTGTTTCACTATTTTTCAGTGTTGGTGATTGCTCTGTCTACCTTGCTTTCCACCGATCATTCTGGTTTACGATAATTTCCACTTTGTTGTATCGTACGAATTTTCCTTGTTTCCTTCTCTTGAAGCCTTTTCCACCATCATGCTAGACCTTTCACATATTTTCGTTTGTCAGCTCTGATGCTCTTCTTTACTTGCTTGTTTGCTTCTGTGTATTCATCTTGTGCCTTAACGTTCTCTGCTTTTGTTCGTCTGACGTTGATTGCTGCCTTGTTGTTCCTTCTTTCTTGAGTCTTATCAAGAGAGATACATTCCTCGTGACCGTGTTCCCTGTGACCCAGAACCTCCTAACATGTTGAAGTGATTGCCTCCTTGATCCCTTCCCAATTGTTTTCCATGGTAGTTTCTTCTCCATTGAGTATATCGTGCAAGGCCTGGAACCTATTGGTGAGGGCTATCTTGAATTTGTTGAGTTTTACGGTATCCCGAAGAAAGGCTGTATTAAACTTGTGTGGTGTTGTCTGCCCCATTTGTCCAGTGCTTCATGAGTTTCAGATCCTCTCTTGGTTCTCACATCCTCCATGGCCCTTCTGAACTTTTTATTGATGCAGATATGGTCGATTTGGTTCTGAGTAGTGTGATCCGGTGGAATCCATCAGGCTTTGTTTATGCGTTTGCGTAGGAATATTGTGCAGCCAATGACCAGTTTATTGAAGGCACATATGTTTGCAAATCTGTCGCAATTTTCGTTGCTTTCTCTCAGTCCATGTCGACCCATGATGTCTTGATATCCAGTGTTGTCCATGCCAATCTTGGCATTTAGGTCTCTCATCCGAATCGTCAAAAACGTTGATGAGTATCTTTCGATGATTGACCCCAGTCTCCCGTAGAACTGACTTTTAACGTCGCCACTGTAGTCGTTGGTAGGTGCATAGCAATGGATGAAGTTCATTGTAACTTCCTCTTTCTTTGTTTTGAAGGATGCTTTAATGATCCTGTGTCCATGAAGCTACCATCCTATTAGTGCCATTTGTGCTTGTTTGGACAGCATCAATGCGACTCCTTGAGTATGTGAGGCATTTTCTTCTTCATAGTCGCCGGAGTATAACAGCAGCTCTCCTCAAGCTAGTATCAGTTGAACAACTTGCTTTAGGGACTGAAAGTAGCCCCAGGGGGCTCCGCGTGGAGTTATATGGGCTGAGAAACAGTAACTAATTGAAAGTACCCCCAAAGCATTAAATCTCCGCAGTCTGTTCACAAAACGCATAACAGTCCATAATAGAGACTATTTGTTTTCTAAATAAATAACACAACATTCAGACTAATAAACATATCAACATCACCTCTGTTACTTTCGATAAGGTTTAAAGAGTGAAAAATGATCAAATATTTAATTTTCTATTTGAGGGGATCCAGAGTGATACACCACAGCTTTTGAAGACTCTCGTTCATCTGTTCTCCCTTCTAGTGAGGAGTTTGATGTGCACATTCATAATAACGTCTTCTAAATGTCAAGTCACCAGAACTGTAGTACTGCTGTAATGATAAAGATCCTACACTCAATTCGATCAACAATCTCATTTGAATCAGAATGTTTGTTCTTGCAAGCAGAGGTGGGAAGGAAGCTCTACTATGACGATATTTGGCTCTCTGGTGTTTTGATACGGATGGTTGATAGAGCTCCTTCAGCTTGAGTGTACCCAGTAACACCAATTTGGTTAGCATCAATGCTGAGAACCTACAGAATTATTTATTGACCGCTACAAATTGGGTTTTTAGTTTAGTAATTAAAAATCATAATAATTAACCGGTCATGAAATATACGATATATAGTCTGAGATAGTATGTACCAAGAAGAATTGGGTAGCAAGGGTGGTATTTAGATTAGAAATCCGTTAATGTGACGGCTGATCAAGTGAGAATAAGAAGTGTGAGGGCAGTAGTATATTTATGAGCAGTAATTAGCATGTCATACGGTCAAGGGTGCAGTGGTAGCAGAAAAGCCGTTTGTGAACTCAAACACCAATTTTAGACTCAGTTATATGGATAATGATAACAATCTACGCAAAATAGGTCTATGTTAGCAATCGCAATAATATCATTAGATTAAAGTTATTAGAGGCGGTTGAAACCAAGTTCATTATCTTATTCAGTACGCTGACTAAAATTACCACACAGACCACGTAATTACACTTGGGTTGTTATTTTGCTCTAGAACCAACTCTGGCTGATGCATATCTTGAAACTTGCTAGTTGTTGCTATCGTCATTTCTTCAGATCAATAACTTATTTTGTCTCACTCATTCTCTCTGTTTCGTCTCCGTTGCTTACACATCTATCCTCACAAATTCTTCACTACCGACTGATCTACTGGTTTAATTTTTACTTAACTCTGAAACCCCATTAGCATTAGAGTTTTCTTATTATTATTCTCCACACTGTGACTAAATTATCTTCAGCCGAGACACATGGTAGCTGCTGGTACCCAGAAACCATACTGCCCTTAACTAACGTATTCACGCAGATCTCGGGACATGTAAACTCATAAATAACTGCCGACTGACTAGAACCAGTGCATTTGAACGGCTATAAATCACTAAACACCTGAAAGCACACCGAAAAAACAAGAATCGAGAGCAAAGTAATCAATTATTTTATTGGATATATATTGGATTTTTTCTACCTGTAGGGTTCACTAATACCGCTGTACCCACTGCTTATGCTCACCACCCTGGAATTATTAAAGACTAGCAGTCATTAATCAACATCATGATGATGTCATGAGGATACTAGCTTATTTTAACCATCCCTGCATTGTCTACTAACTAGTATTGTACACTGGACATTAGATGGTCTGTGGTTTTTCAAAACTCCCGCCACTAAACTTCGCTTAGGATGTCAGATGACGATGCTGTGAATGAAACGCATAATCTGTCAGAATCAGAAGCTCAAGATGTCCAGCACTTACGAGAAATCGCTGGTGGGATAGGCTACTTGGATGCCTTGAAGCTTTTGGAAGAAAGCTCTTGGAACTTAGAGGTGCGTCTTAAACGTTAATATTAAGTTTCCAGCGTGCTGTACACAAATTAATGGGATTTGAAGACTCTAGTGTAAGGCAGAGGAGCACGTCCTCACGCATCCCGTCCGTACCACAGGTTTTGTTTGTTGTTTTATACTATCTCCTCAGGTTGAGTTAATTCCTCCTAATCAACGGATACTAAGGGCAAGCAGTAGCACTAACAGTTGGTTGTGGTCTGCTACCTTATTGTTGTTCGAACCTATTCGAGTGGGATATAACTTGTTCATCGGGATTGTTAGATTTTTCAGTAAGTCAGACTTGCGTGAATTGTCCTGTTTTTAGTTTTTCCGTTAATATTGTCCGTAATTGTTGATTTTGGTATAACTCGTTAACTGTACGCTCGTGCACATGGTATCTTCATTAACAACATATATTTACTAGACGATACCAGACGAAATTGGGCATAATAATAACAACAGGTCGTTTTTTATATCGATTTGTGAATATTTTAAGTATCTGCTTTTATTAGGGATTATGACGTTTAATTAACTTATCTATACCGTTTGGATTTCATAGTAGTCCGTTTTTGTTTCTCTAAAATACAAACAGAGAAGCCATGCTAACCTTTTGGTTGTTAATCTTGGATTTATCAATAATTGGATCCAAATGGGTCGTAAGCATTTTCTGAAAGTGTTTGAGTACACGCAGCTGTCGTGTGTAATCGATCAACCAGAATGAGTATAAAAAACAAAGTTTATGACTAAGAAGTCTTAGTAACCCTATTATCTATACAGCTTAGTTTATTCAATCCATGTGGTAACGATGTATTTTGATGTGTTCAGTTACATGCGAGTCTCAAATCTGAAGTTGGGCTTAATTTAGGTTTACCCCGAATATCCTATTTCCGTGCAAGGAGAAGCAGTAATGTTTCACTTTTTAGATAAATGGCGTATATTACAGTTTATTCAGCGTTATCCATTGTTACGGTTTATGGTACAAACGATTGTCTTGAGAAATCCTCCCGTTTTCCTGATTCAGTAGTCTTCTGGATAACCTGAAAAAAGCCCTAAAAATCGAGCGTCTTCTCCTTTCGAGGGATACTATCACATAAACTGACATTAGCAGTGTGTCTAATAAATACAACTGTGTATTCATTTTAAGACGTAACAGGCGTTGAACATACCTTACGTAACCTTATTGAGAGAACTAAGTCAGGTTGGACTTGAAATATTTCGGTTGAGGACTAAAGAGATAATGTGTTCAACGGCCCGTAATTTATTAACCTGCTCAGTTTCATAATTGAGCAAATTGATAAATAATGTACGAAAATCCCTTATGAGGTGATCACTTTTGTGACCAAAATTCAAGTTCATCAAAGGAGAATTTGTGGCTTGTATGCTTTACCTAACTCAATACCCCAATTATTCCATTTCTATCGATAGCTCAGTCGTTCAAACTTTCATGTGTCAGCTTTTCACTAACTGATGGACTAAGGATTCACATATGAATGACACCACTACCTCTACTTGTTGATGTTAATTCTTTAGAGCTAAAAATAATCAGTTGCACATATCTATCAATATTGTTGAACGTGATCTGTGTCGCTACACTTTCAGTAGTTACCGGTTGTGATGAATCACTTATCTTACTGGACTGAACTCAATCATTTGGCATGCTCCTAGTGTTAGTGTAGAAAACTTTTTCCTTATTTGTGAATCTTCATTCTTATGCGTCAAAAATTTTATTATTACGATCATTATTATTATTGCAAGGGCAAGCCAGTTTCTCCTCTAAGCGTTTTTGTCCGATTTAAACTGTCATGTAATCTCTGAAGCAGATACTAAAATAAACGTATGTTTATTTTCCGTTATGTTTATATCGACTTGTAACCAGATTTACTCTGTATTAAAAGCTAAAATCACCGTGACAAGATATTTGAACTGTGTTTGGAACCATTCTACGAATAATGACACCAACAACTGGTTCTGGAGCTAGCTATGTTTTGTGATGTAGGAGTAGGTCGGAAGAAAGCTAGGGTTTTCCAAACCCAAACATTGCACAAATTCATGAAGTCACTGACAACTGAACTGAGTCATGTCGGTAGGTGTAAGCTACCTGGTTGGGGTCCGCGAGACGATAGTAACCGATGGTTAGAGACCCTGAATGACATGGCTCACAACCGTTCATACTTTGTGTTCTTTCAAATCCTAACCATCGGAGTTCCTCATCACTTTTATCTTTTTCGTTTTAAGTTTATTCCGCTGGATTCGACTTCTTAAATAATATCATCGAACCCCGAAATTTCCGATTACTGCTTATACCTCTACTACTATAGGATTTTAGTCGACAATTGCAACTCTGTGCATAGGTTGTAATAAGCTGATGAATAACTTTATGTGAGAAACACATTTTTCGATTTATTTATATATCCTTTTGATTGCATGGTTTTAATTTAAATTCAGATACATACAGAGATTTATTTTTATTATTCCCTTTATCAAGCTTCATTCCTTTGGTCCGATCCTCGAAATCGTAAGTTTTGTTACACTAGTTATAAATGCTTCTTAACATCACTTTTTAAAAACATATATACTCTTTTATGTTCTTGATAATTTGTTGCTCAGTTATACTTCACAGCTACCCAGTTCATCTTACGGAACACGCAATCACAATCTTAACTGCACCCGTTAAATGATATTTGCTTATTTCTAACTAATAGTTTGATACAATATATACTTTTTTTCAAATCCTCAGTTCCTTACCTGTTCCGAAATAACTGGTTTAGTAAATAAAATGTGTACTAACCTTTTTTTCAAGGATCGTTCATAATGTGAATCACGCAACATTTACACAGCATTCCTGTCTATGAATCTAGGTTTTGTGATATTACTCAGATCTCCAGAGCAAAGTAGACGGAAACTTGCTTCAATCAACCTGTTGGATAAGAATTAAACTCTCGGCTTATTGAGTTACAGCATTTCAGTATATCGATTCGTGTGCAAGCTTTCTACTATACTCACTAATCCGTTTAGTACTTGTCAAATAATTTTTAACAACAAATTTTTGATCGGCGTTTCAAAATCATTTTCAAATTCAATTATTTTGTGATAATATATTCCTTAATTGTTTAAGTTTCATGTTTGAATCGAATCAAGCATTAGAATTGTAGGAGTCAGTCTCATGTTAGCTTATTATTTACGCAATATATTTGTCAGTATTAATCGTGCGAATAACAGATTTAAATTATCGTCTATAATCCTATCAAATTAAACAAATAACTTAGTTTTGCTAACCTATTATTCCATATTCACAGATAGTAAAGGTGTCATAATATTTTTCTCATATCTAAGGTAGGTGTTGGATCTTCGCTGTCAAATGTGTTAGACGTTACTTAGACAAATAATTATTCTGTAACTGTCTACATTGGTTTGAAAAATCAGGTAGGATCATCAACCCTTGCATACAGTGTAGTTCAAAGATGAGTACACTAATCGTGAAATTGATGAGTTAGGCTTCTTTACTAAATATGCTGTTACACGGAGGATTATGATTGTTTTATGCCTACTATTATGATCACGCAGTGGCATAGTTTCGACAAAGGTTCTTCAGGTTACACTATATTTAAATTCTTCTCGTCTGCCATATCACCATTTGAATTCTCATAATTACTGAGATACACAAACTTTCTAATTTGTTTCATACTTGTCTGTAAGCGATAATTCTGAAACAGGTTACTGCTATTTTAGCAGCAGCACTTTACACCAGTGATTTATGAATAATTTTCAGTTAACCGGTTGCAATTCGTTTAAACTGTTTGTCATTGCATGATAAAACGATATCGTTTTCATACTTACTTTCGAAATATTTCTCAGATAATACACATATGGTCCTACCAAGAAATCTAATTACGGTTACTTCTAGAATACTCGTAAAGATATTATTCTCATCAGTATTCATGAAATAATTGGTGCCACCAATGTACTCACAACTGTGCATATACAAATGAATGGTTGAAAAAGTCAATCAACTAAATCTTAATTCTTTATGCTAAACTCAATAAAAGTATCACGATTTATTCTACTTATAGGTGTAGGTATTCACTTATCCTTACTGTTTCAGTTGACGGAACTATTATTACAAGAAACAATGCACACAAATCTTTTAACCCCTAGTAAACCGTGTCCAGAATCTTTCGTAAATAACTATGAAAAACGTGCATAAAGTCTCAGAGTATCTAAGGTTTCCGAAAGATTAGTCATTGGAGTTGTTTAGCAGTAATTTTACGAGTGAAACTCAAACTTCCTGTTGTCTGGTTGGTTTGAAAGGTATTGTGAAAGTGTCTTCTCATTAATCATGGGTATGTTATGATAATATCAAGTTTACTTCAGTTTATTTGAGTTCAAAATAGCTCATTTACTAGGTACGAATTCATGGATCGGTCTCTGAGATACATTTTTGTCTATGTCAGAACTGGTTCTGTTACATAGTTTTCACGAAGGAGTTGACGGATCGAGGTTAAAAGTTACATCAAAGTTAGAAACTTAGAACCTTAGTCACTATAACACGGCCCATTCAAATTGGACGATATTTTAATAATAACGCCGCAAATACAATTATATAAATATATGTTTCTGGATCAGGTACTCGAAAAGTGTTATTTAGTAGTCCAGGTTAATTCTGATTGGTTGGTGACCTCTTATTATGATCAAATCCCTATAACCGTGGTCGGATTTTCGAGTGGACTGGTCTTCAAGACTATGGATTGTGTTTTAACCTAGTACCATCCTGTGTTAGTTTGTAAACGTGTTAAATGTGTATAATTCACGCACTTTCCTATCATCCATTCAATTAAATGCTAATTGCAATCACATGATTATATTCTCAGTTATAACCAGCGGCCAAATGAATCAATGAATTCTACCTAAGACCATTTAATTAAATTGAATGCTGTATAATTGTTTCACTCTAATCTTATGTACTCCCAATATAAATATTGCTGATTGTTTATAGAGGTTACTGATCCTGCAGGCGATGTAAGAAAATTTATCCAACACTTCAAAGAAACTTATGGATCTGTCGATACCAGTCTTGACGTTGACGCCAATCCAAGCAGAAATTCTACTTCTGATTCAATCCCACCTTTCTTTGAGGGAACCTATGCTGATGCTGTTCAAGAAGCCAAACAAAGCTTGCGATTTCTAATTGTTTATTTGCATGGAGATTCGCATGAAGATACTCATCGGTTTTGCAAGTAATATTTTACTTATATTCTGCATATACCAATTGTCTGAATCCATCTTATATGGAACCAATTATATTCATGCATATATACACCCTATCATAATAGCAATTTCAGTTGCTTTCATGTAATGATCATTTAATTAAGTTACTTGTAACTAAGCTCAAGCACTTTTATATTAAATCATATGATGTCACATTGGATTTTTCAAAATTAGTCTCATTTCTTTCACTACTGAAAATGTTGCTTGTTAGGCAATTAAAAGTGCTCATACAATAAACTTAGTCATCCGAGTTTAAGCAAATGCTCCGTAAATTAGTAATTTAGTCATTTGATTAGCTTTCATTGACTCCATGATTTAGATATTTATTCATGTAATTTAGGAATGTTTGTGCTTGTGGAGGGAATAAACCTCCTCAATTTCACGATCAAAGGAAAGGTTCACATTAATTTGAAGATTGATAGGTATAAACGAAAAAAGACATGTCTTGTTGGTACAAATTAATGATCTCTATTGGATCGTTGATAGTGAATAAGGATGATATTGTAATTAATCTACACCGATTAGAATTTTTCCCTACTCATTATTGTGTTTGTTATGTAATAATTTAGTTGTACTTCCCTCTTCCAGGGATATTCTTCAATCGGATAATGTTCTACGATTTCTTAGAAATTCCAATGAACTACTGTTTTGGGGTTGTAATATTGAGTCTCCTGAAGGTTATCGTGTATCACGAACCCTTCGAGAACATACATATCCGTTCATCGGAGTTATTGGCTTGACTAATATGCCGAGTAAGTAGTAATATTTAATTCTGCATGAAATTCGTAATGACTTTTTTTTTACATTTTTGTCATTAATTGTCAATAAAAACAGCACTACCTTTACAAGACGTTGATCGATCGAAATGAATGTACGGAAAAGTATATTTTTTTTATGGAAAAGGGCTTACAATTCGCGGTGATCACTTATTGATTGTCAAAATACTCAATAGAATACAATTCCATAGTTTATGCGCAATGAACTAATGTAATCGACTAACATGCTCACGGGCCCAAATTATTGATAAAAGCCTTGAATTAAACTGATATCAGAAGTCAACACAACTACTAACGTAATGGATTTGCTACAATGAAAACAAACATAATTATGTAAGAAATGTCAGCACAGAAATAAGCAATATTAAATATCACTTAATATATAAATGGATTTTAGAACACAAGTGTTGTTTGTCACTCGCGTGCCAATGTATTAAAACTTAACTGAATGAATATGATACTGAACATTCAGTATGCAGTATCATGTTAAAAAATATACTCTTAGGACGGGGTACTGAAAACGCTATCATAGGTTTCATATCAATGTAGTTCTGAGGAATATGTCTATATTTAACAAATTTCTGAATAATGTTTTCCGGAGCTAACCAGGTTTAAAACATTCTCAGGAATCCAAACTAAAATATAGTACCAACCAGTTTAGTTTTCTAACTTTGCGGAAACGCTCTGTGAGAACCTAGCTTAAGATCTAAATTATTGTTATAGATACATTATCTAACTCTAAACTAGTAGTCTACACATTTAGTGGGTTTTTAATTGTTCAAGACTGAGAGTACTCATCGGTCTCATCTTATGAGAACTAGTGCTTCTCGGGTTTTATATTTTTCTAGGATTTTTTTTATTCTTGAATTACATGCCTCGTTTAATTTTTAATTAAATTTCACATGTGTAAGGTGTATTAACTTAAACTGGTACATATTTGTCACAGATCCTACACTTCCTATGGCTAATGTAGATTTAAAAAAATCATTCATGTTTATTCGCTTGCAATAAATCACTATTTTTTTGGAAAATACAACACAGTATTAAATGTGTTCGCCTCAATAAACACTGTGTTTAGCGTAGTTTTCGTCCTTATTTTCCATCAGTATGATTAAGTTGTCTTGTGATTTTAATGTAATTTTCAACTTTGAGTTAATTGTCATATGGCTAGCCTTATTCGTTTGAATGTTGAACTTAGATTTCTGACCCAAGCTTTATGCAGATATAGCTTGTTAATAAACTTGTGTGGATTGAAATGTTAAATTTCATACTATTTCATAATAGACTTTTTTTTACTACTCTGTTGTTATAATTACCAGTTTCAGAAAATGGAATTTATTCTGGAAGTAGTACACGAATGGCTTTACTAGGACGTATAGAAGGTGTAGTAGAATCATCCGAATTAGTTGATCAGTTGAACAGTATATTAAATGAACACCAAACAGCTATAATAACAGCTCGATTGGACCGGTAAGTCTTATTTCATACATGAAAAAGTAACAAATGAAGTACACATAAAGTTATCGAAGAATATTCCCTAACTGATAGGCTTATTAGAGTACACAACAAATTTTATAAACCTTAATTGTTAAAAAAATAAAACTAGACAGATTTCTTGTAGTGAAATCAAAGCTTTTTGCAATTATGGAGAGTACGATAACCGCATTCAATTTATATATGTATATTTGTACAGTTGATTGATAAACTAAAACTCTTGGTGAGCACTTCTTACGGATGTGATATCAAGTAGTATTTTAGTGATTGATCACAAATTCAAACTCTACTTCAGTGTGAACAACTGAATAGTATCACCAGCTATCATACAACAGCGTGATTGAAACCCAACGATATATGCCTTCGTATGGCTAATAAATTACTTCTTAGCATGTAGGTCAAAAGATTCATGACTTTGTGACACCAGGTTTCAGGTTTAACTTTACTTGTACAAGACTAATTCAAACACCAGAAATGAAATAATTTTTAGGAAATTTCCATCATGGACATATCGATTGAACAGTCATTGTAAACCAGAGAGTTATTTTGTTCAGTTATCCGTGAGATAATGAATGCATTTATTGCGGAGGATTCGTAAACTATAATTCTAGTATGTAATTGAGGTGATTCTCGAATTGAATAAATCATAATACATTCCTCCGTATCTAATAGTCTTTGACCAGTGCAATTTACTCTATCCAACAAAATTCGGAGCAAAAGTGAGTTGGAAGCAAAAATATAAGATAACAGTGTAAATCAATATAAACACTAGAGATTATCAAGGATTTATGGCAGCAACATCTAATACATTGTTGATTCTCCCGTCAACACCAATGGTTTTCATACAAACTAGTTGGCAGATTAGAATTCGGTCTTTCACTGAAAATGTAATTGTTAGGATTCTTGCATACCAAAAATTATTGATTGTTGTACACGTAGGTTATAATATCGCATTACCCAGATAGGAGTGATTGTAATCCTACCAGTCCTGTTACTCATTCAATAGGTAAATTTGGCTTATAATCGTTTTCAGTGGCACGGGTGTAATCAGCCTTTATCTTTCCTCTCAAACCCCGACCGTAGCTGTTACCTTGACGTGGTGGTCGGGCTTGCCTATCGTGATGACCCAACCGAGCTATATTGGCTAGAACATATATTCCTGAAGGTTCTACCATGCCAGGCAGGTCGATTGGAAAGCGATGAGAGTAAAAGCAGCTACTCAAGGTCTGAGGGCGAAGTCGTACTGCTGACTGCAGAGGGGTGTGACAGCAGTAAGGTGTTTCCCTCGGACAACCAGCATCTGCAGCGATGCTGCCTTCTCACAATGATGGAAGGGTTAGAAAAGGTCGACCCTAATAATGTCACACCTCACCCTACCTCAATGATTTCCGTCTCCTTGGGTAAGCGTGCCCACTAAGGGCTTTTAAGTGCAGAGCTAATACTCTAAAAATGTTTCATAAAAAGGCCGTGCGTGACCGGCCTCAAGCAGTTGTCTCTTGGGCTCTGAGGTCACGATGCCAGGTCATTAGGACCAAAACTAATCTACCTTCCTTTTCAAGGTTCCTCAAGAAACACTTCCATGGTGTGGGCAGCTGGGAAACGACATCCGCCCTCATACGTAACAGCACGCGAGACCAAATCGGTCACAATCAAATCCTCCCTACATCCGCTAATATCTCTCTTTTCTTCAAGACTAACTCTTCTCACCTTCCCTTATCACCCCGCACCGCTAATGCAAACGATTCCAGTTCACGAAACATTATTCCTGGTCTCCCGAAACCCCGTTCTAAACTGCATGTTGGAACATTTAATGTACAGACATTGTGTCAAATAGGGCAACAGACTTCATTAGCTAGGACATTAAAATCTCGAGCCATCGATGTATGCTGCATCTCGGAAACGCGCATACAGGATCCTAGTGAAATCATTAATTTGATTTCACCTTGTCAAAATAAAGAGGCAACTCGATTTACTCTTCGTGTATCTGGAAGCCCTGATGCTGCTTTCAGGGGTCTCGCTGGTGTAGGTATAGCATTGAATCGTAGGGCAGAACTAGCGCTCCTAGACTGGATCCCAGTAGATAGTCGCTTGTGCGCTGTCCGACTGAACGGGGCAGTAAGGATTTGGAAAGATGGAACACTCGTCGTTGCCTCTTCATCGTATCTGCCTATGCCCCCACTGACTGCAGTTCAGACGTTGTTACAAATGAGTTCTACAGTAAGCTTTCGGACCTCCTCCAAAAAGCTAGGCGCTCTGATATAGTAATAATGGCTGGTGACTTTAATGCTCAAGTAGGTAGACTGAGTGAAAATGAAAGACGCCTAGGTGGATGTTATGGTGTCACGGCTAATAGAACAGACAATGGCGACCGCCTGTTGCAACTGTGCTCAGATAACTGCCTATTTCTCGCAAACACTGACCTTAAGCATAAGGAAAACTATCTCGTAACCTGGCGACTCCCAAAGTCGTGACAACGCTGGACCCAACTGGATCACATTGCCACCAGCCACCGATGGAGGGGTTCGATAGAGGACTGTCGCTCGTTCTGGGGTATATGTCTGCATTCAGACCATGCTCTAGTGCGACCGCGTATTTGTTTGCGACTTACCGGACGTAGGAAAGACACCTCAAGTAAACCTCTTAGGGTTCTACTTAATGATAGCAGAGCTACGAATATATTTCAGGAACAACTAGAGAAACAGTTAGGCGACCATGTAAGCGATTCCCATCCGGAAACGATATCAAAAAGGCTGTGGAAACAGCAATGACATCCCACCCGACTCTGAACATGACGAAGAGCGAAGTCAGCCTAGGCGCAGACTCATAAAACGCCTATGTAACGACCACGAACAGTGGTGGGTGGCGAAAGCAAAGGCGATGGAAAAGGCAGCGGCAATAGTCAACAGCAGAAAGTTGTTCCACCTTATCAAGGAAACTGGTATTAGGAATCCTAGTGTAAGTGAGACTATTTCGAAAAAGGATGGGACCATTTTCCATTCTCAATCCAGGAGATCGGATCGATGGGTAGAGCACTTCTGGGATCAGTTCAACTGGCCTTCAGCCACACTTCGGTTACCTACGATCTCCAGTCATCCTGAATGGCAAGTCGACTTAAGCCCTCCGAATCTTTATGAATTTGAGAAAGCTATAGGAAATCTGAAGCGAGGTAGAGCAGCAGGACCCGATAGATTGACTCCTGAGATTTTTAGGGATGATGGTCCTGTTTTAACAGTTAGATTGACCAAGATCTTAGGTAGAATCTGGGAACTGGACGCAATCCCATCTGACTGGTCCCAATCCTTGATTGTCCCAATTTACAAGAAAGGACAAAAATCCTCTTGTGACAGTCAAAGAGGATTAAGTCTAACTAATATAGTATCGAAAATATTGGCGTCAATAATACTTCGACGCTTAACGAAAGCAGACTAGAGAAAACCAAGCTGGTTTTCTACCTGGACGTGGACGTGTAGACCAATTATTCACACTACGTCAGGTCTTAGAACATAGACACACGTTCAGACGCACCACAATAGTAGTATTTCTCGACCTTAGAGCGGCATTTGACTGTGTTGATCGTGAGGTTCTGTGGTAGTGCTTATCCTTAAAAGGTTTACCGAACAAGTACATTAACCTTATACAAGCTGCCTACTCAACACTGGTCGGGTGAGAGTTTATGGCGAACTGTCATCGGAATTTTTTACTTCAGATGGACGGGTGTACTGTTCAGCAGTTCGCTCCGTTCTCCTATATGGATGCGAAACATGGCCGGTAAGAGTAGAAGATATTCGTACGTTACTAGTATTCAATCACAGATGTCTTAGAAGCATTGCTCATGTATCCTGGGACAACCAAGTAGGCAATGCTGTCGTTAGGAAACGGGTACTAGGTAGGGATGGCAGATCAATAGATGAAATATTGAGGCTTGGTCAGTTGAGGTGTTTGGGACATGTGTTACGAATGCCCGACCACGAACTGCCTCAATGAGCAATGTTTTGTCGTGTTAGTTAAGGCTGGAAGAAAGGAGCGGCCAGACCAATACATGGCAGAAATCCATGAAGTCACTGACAAGTGGACTGAGCCATGTCGTTAAGTGTCGACAACCTGGATGGGGTCCGCGAGACGGAAGTAACTGTTAGTTAGAGACCTTGAATCACATTGCTCATAATCGTTTGCAATGGCGTAGGTGCATCCACTCTTCGTGTTCTCTCAAATCCTAATCTTCTGGATTCGTCAACACCTCTACTTTTGTTTTTCTAAACTTACCCCACTTAATTATACTTCTTGAACAATATCTTCAAATCCTAATCTTCTCCATTACCAGTAATACTTCTACTACCTCTACCACTATGGGATTTAAATGACAATTACGTCTCTGTGTTGATGTGGTATGGCAACGTGAACTGAAGTACTTACGTACGAAGTTCTACGTTGTAACTGACTCGCTCACTTCCTCCCAAACTTGAATTCCAGTATTCCTGAATACATACCATTCCACTTTGTTGTTTAAGATCATATTTTCACGGCTTGGTCTATCGTTTTTGCCACTATCACTGAATTATTTCGATCTCTCTTATCTTTCCACCTTTGTGCTAATCACGTGTGGGAACTTAGGCCGATGAACATTTGTGAAGGGTTCTGCGTTGATGATGTCTGTCTGTCTAATTGAATTCTTGCATAATAGTTGGTTACCTTTTATTGCTTTTGACAATCTTCATAGTCAAGTAAAGTAGAAATCTCTACGAACAATAAGAATGTATCTTGTTTGTATGATTTCAAGCTAGAGTAATATAAATCAAATCAACTGTGAAAAAGCGTGTGAATACCGGAATGCCCGTTCTAAAGACAATGCTTTTCATAATACACCCAGCAATCGGTCTAATGTATATAACTTATATGTTTGCAGTATAAACTTCACAGGTGAATGAGTGTTGCGGTATTGTCCATATAGTTCAAACCATATGTTGTTAATCTTTGTATTCTTGATCTAGCTTTCTGTACAACGAATTTGTCGTTAGATCCGCTGAATTTAATCGTACTTTTCTACTTATTTCTTCGTAATGTGTTCGACCCCTTCTTTTTACAGGAGTGAACGAGAAATGAATGCTCAGTTAAGGCGTGAGCAAGACCTAGCATATGAAGCATCACTCGCTGAAGATCGAGCCAAGGTGGCTGCTCGAGAAGCACAACAACGAAGTGCTGCTTTAGAAGCGGAACAGCTAGCTAGGGATGCAAAACGAAAGGAAGATCTACAAAAAGCTCACATTAAACGCAAGCGCATGTGGCGAAATAGGTTACCACCACCACCCAAGTTCGAAGATGGATCTACGGTACACTTATCATTCAAAATGCCACATGGTTCCAGAGTTTCTCGCGTCTTCGGCTTGAACGATTCTATCAAGGTAGGTTTCTTTCATTGAGTATTTCATCTAAGATCGTACTATGTCAAGTAAGTCATATGCACACTACATAATAGTTTTTACTGCATTATTCTTTTCCAGCTGCTCTACTATTTTGTATTATCTCAGGATGATTCACCAGCAGAATTCGAGGTGCAATCTAATTTTCCAAAACGTATTTTACCGTGTCAACCTTTCGAAGAATCTGATATTGAAGACTACATAGATATTTCTGATAGCAAGATGGAATGTGATGAGTTTGAGGTAATCACAGATTGGTCCCCTAAATGTGAGAATGATCCACCATCATTTAGTGATATTAACTTAACAAAACCAGAAATGTTGTATGTTCTCAACAAAGATGCATGATGATATCATAGTGTTTTATTCTTCCCATCTTTTGAGCACACCAGCATAGCTATATCTTTATGGTTAAAGCTGTTCCGTTGTTGAATAGGTTCATGCATGATAATTTTGATGTAGCTTTCTGTACTGGAAATAAGTATGACGATATTATAGATGATTTGCACAGTCGGGACTTCGTTTCTTTATACAGTTGTTTTAATGTATTTTTTCCGATTATTTTATTCATGCTCATATTGTTTCTCTAACCTCAAAGTTTGACAAATCTCCTTGTAATATTTTCTGTTAGCATATAACATTCCTTCTATACATGTGGTTTCTTCCTAAAACAAACTACCCACCGTTGACCTACTGTAGCTTATTCATTCGCCTCAAATTTTTTGTGGACTGTCTAGAGATAATATTGAAGTTTACTTTTGAGCAACATGTGACCACCTGTGTGGAAAGTCTTTCCTTCTGTTTTTCAATATGCACACAGATTTCGTGCAAATTAATTGAACTGAAATTGTTTTTATTACTACGATGATGATAATCACTATTGTATTTTATTTGTGTACAGTACAGGCACTGAATTGCTTTTATTTTCATCTGTTGACTCTTTGTAAAGTGGATTTTCATCGTTTGGTTTTAACTCATTCTGTGTAAATGAGTACCTTATGGTAAGCTCTCATTCAACTGTCAGTCGTTTCCTCTCATGCTACCCTTATACACATTTTTATCAATTACTACCATTTAGGGATAAAAATGTGTAGATTCTATATATTTGTTGGTAGATAACATGTGTCACTTTACATTACTGAAATGCAACACGTCCGTTCAGAAGTCCGCGTACATGATATTTATCGCGTAAAGGTTGTTAATATAACCTCATTCCAAACTTACCTCCCATTAACATATCACGTTTAAATCACCGATATTTTCTGGAGATTATCATTCTATCATCCGAGATCCAGCAATTTTCCCTCGTTTATTTAGTTACGAGTCATATCTAAAGGAAATTTCATGATTCATTCATGTTTATCTAGGCGAAGTTGTCGTAAATTAGAGGTGCAACTAGAACAAGATAAATTACGATTTAATTGGAACAGTTAATTGACATTCCATTTTTCATGTTAAACTTCATTTATACAAACTGCTTTATCGGTGTGTTCGAAAGTATTATGGATTCCGTAAGGAAAATCTAAATCATCGATGTGATATGCGTGACTTTCAAAAACCTACACTTCGTGAGTACAAAGCTATTAACCATATATTCAGAAACCCTTCTAACCTACTAAGGATTAGGATCCTAACAGCGAAATTCAACAATGCAAAACGCAGCATAGAAAACGGGTGCGATAAGAACCGACTCGTATAGTATACGGAAAAAATCATCACTCATCTCTGGATTCGTCGGTTAGCTGATAACAGAGTGGTGTGAAACGATCAATGCTATTTATACATCTAATTCATTATTGTTACATGTACTAAAAAAGTCAGCCACCTACAACGTAGGACTTCGTACGTATCCACATCACTTCAAGTTTTTATACCATGTCAGCACAGAGAGATCGAATCGTTAATCAAATACCTAAGTAGTAGAAGTATTGTCAAACAATTTGCTACTCTTCACTAGTACTAAGTCTAATACATCGCCCACTCAGTGGTCCCAACATACGCCACTGAAGCTTCGGGGACTTAATGCTAGGGTTCTAAGAATGTTTTTAGATTCCTCAAAATGTTACTTTCTATCCACGAATTAAGATGGAGCGGACCACCAGCTTGTATACCCAGCCCTTTGAAGAGTCAGTAACAACTCGACAATACTCACTAATAAGCTTAAACACTGAGAAAAGTCGACAATAAACGCTTAATTTTCGGCTGCGGTACGGATAAGCACCAACATAGAGTCTGACACGTAAGCTATTTCATCTAGTCTCCAAGCACTGGTTGCATTTGTTACGCAGAGCCCAACCTGATAATCTGCATCTATCAACATGGTTAAGATCGACAGTCAACCAACTGGTTTGGTCGCCTCTAACTTTCCTTAAACCGTCTAACCCACTGTGAAGCATCTTTTGTCGCGACGTTTTCCCCCAAATCTTAAGTTCCTGAATCCTTGGTTTTCTCCAATAAAACAATATTTTCTCTCTATGCTAATGGAGCATGGCAATTTGAACGTATGTACCAAGTACTATCTTGCAAGTGACTAAATCAGACGGTGAAGATTTACAGCCTCAACAGATTTACCTCCTTAGCCTATTACTATTTGCTTAGCGTTAACGCTGCTCACCCAGTTGTCCCACAATACGCCAGCAATACTTTGAGTACACCTACGATCAAAAATCTCGAGCCTGTATTGATTAGCTTCACGAAAGCAATCATGTGAAAAAATAAAACAGCAAATTGTATTTCTTTATAAAAACAGGTAACAAAATGCAATCTTTGAGTCTAATAACAGAATTCACGGGCGGATTTCCCGAAGAGCAATAGTTGACCGGGAATGTATCAAAAACACGACTAGCCATACATTTCTGAGCAACGATGTGCCGAAAATTTACCGTCTCAGATTCCTTATATCGTCGTCTAATTCACTAATGGAGCTCTTTAAGTATTCCCATTGTTCCGAGTTCAGAGAAATTCCTATCAACAAAAAGTTTAATAGTACATGACAAATGTAATTATAACTGATCATATAACTAGTTTACCAAATACTACTTTACGTAGTTGACAAAGTGAATCTTGTTTTAATGTACCTGGTTATGTGATCTAAAGTGGCTAGAACAGGATAAGTGGTAAAGGGGTGATACTAAGCCGACATAACATGTGTGAATCATTTCACATACATTGGTCTGATCTGTCAGATAAGGCATGGCCTAAAAAAGAGTGCATAAGTCAGTAACGAATAAATAAGTTATACTGCATGATATCTACACTAACGTATTACTCAGTTTTGGAAACTTGGACATATCTCTGATTGACCGTTTCATGAAAAATACGCATTTCAATGATTTGCTTAGCATCCTATTTCGCAAATTTCTTACAACGCACTTCCAAGCTGGAAACATCTGCTGGACAACCTTGGGCGAGAAACTCTTAAGCCTTGTGCATACCTACAAAGAGTTAAGTCTGTTGTAATTTGTATTTGGGGTTTGCAAATATGAAGAAGAACACATAAAGCACCACATTTTTAATTAACAGGAAAGACTAACCATAAGCCATGACATGCTACATTATATTTTTACTCCTATCTGAAATTCTAATCCACTGAATTTCTTATGATGTTATTTATTTTTTTAGACTTATTTTATTGGGTTATACTTCCCGAATGTCTTCGGTCCCTAATCTCTTCGAGTACCGCTAAAACTGCTACCACTGTGGAATTTGAACTGACAATTGCATTTCTCTGTGCTGATATGGTATGACAACTTAAACTGATGTACGTACGTACTATGTTTCAGCTGGCTGACGCTAGATTGTCGAGTTCGAATTAGGCATTAATGATGTTTGGAACAATATCAACCAAACTATCTATTTCAGAGTGCTAAATACGATTGAAATCATTAGTCTGATTTTCTAAGCTTTTTCGGTCATTTAGGTATTCATTATCTCATGCACTTGATTTCAGTAAATTTTTAATGAAACACGATCGTCATCTAATGTTAGCAATGGGATCGGTCAGTCAGTCACTTGCAACATAGAACTTCGTACCTATGTATATAAGTTCACGTTGCCATACCACATTAGCACAGAGACGCATATGTCAAACCAAATCCCATAGTGATAAAGAGAGTAGGGGTATTAATGGTAATGAAGAAGACTAGAGTTTGAAGATATTATTCAAGAAGTATAATTTAGTGAAATAAGGTTAGAAAGACAAAGGTAGAGATGCTGACAAATCTAGAAGATTAGGATTTGAGAGAACACGAAGAGTGGATGCACTTGCTCCATTGCGAACGATTTTGAGGCATGTCGTTCAGGGTCTCTAACCATTGGTGACTATCGTCTCGCGGACCCCATCCAGGTAGTCTACATCTACCAACATGACTCAGTCCACTTGTCAGTAACTTTACGGATTTCTGCCATGTTTTGGTTTGGCCGCCCCTAACTCTCTTTCAACCTACTCCTACACCACAAAACATCGCTCGTCGAGGCAATCGGCTGTTAGGCATACTTAACACATGTCCTAACCTCATCAACTGATGAAGTCTCAAAATTTCATCTATTGATCTGCCACCCTTACCTAGCACCCTTTTCCTTATAACGACATTGCTTACTTGGCTGTCCCAGGATATACGAGCAATGTTTCGAAGACACCTATAATTGTTGCTTGGGGTGGTCAGAAGACTCTGCATTTTGTCAGCGTCTTCACCAAGTAGGACTATGTCATCGGCATATTCTAAGTCAATAAGCGAGCCTCCTGGTAGGTCTACTCCTGAAAATTCAGACGATAATGTTAGATGTAGGAGCATGTCTATGAAAAAATTGAACAAGAATGGAGAGAGTGAACATCCCTGACGGACACCACTTGAAGTAAAGAATCCCGATGACAGTTCGCCATAAGCTGTCAATCGACCTGTAGTGTCCGAGTAGAGAGCTTGTATAAGGTTAATGTGCTTCTCTGGTACACCTTTCAATGACAGACACTGCCACAGAACCTCACGATCCACACAGTCAAATGCCGCTTTTAGGTCCAGGAAAACAACTATTGTCGGACGTCTAAATGTGTGTCTGTCGTAGTGTGAAGATGTATATACAGCGACGTCCAGGTCTGAAACCAGACTGGTTTTCTCGAGTCTGCTCTTCATGAGCTCTACTTAGGCGTCTAAAGATAATTGAGGCTAACAATTTAGACACTATACTAGTTAGACTTATTCCTCTGTGGTTGTCGCAAGAGGATTTTTGTCCTTCCTTATAAATTCAGACAATCAAGGATTGAGACCAGTCAGAAGGGATTACGTCCAGTTCCTAGATTCTACCTAAGATCTCGGTTAATCTAACTGTTAAAACTGGACCATCATCCCTAAAAATCTCAGGAGTTAATCTATCGGGTCCTGCTGCTCTACCTCGCTTCAGATTTCCTATAGCTTGCTTAACTTCATAAAGAGTCGGGGGACTTAAATCGATTTGTCATTCAGGATGACTGGGGATCGTGGCAACCGAAGTGTGGCTGAAGACCAGTTGAACTGGTCCCTAAAGTGTTCTGCCCGTCGGTAGTTATATTCCTGTTTAATTTCCACAATGTGTCACAACTTAACGGAACTTATTGAAAATCTATCTCTATCCAGTTATTACCAAATACATGAAGCACTTATGGCAACCTGAACTGATGTACGTACGTACGAAGTTCTGCGTTGTATCTGTCTCACATGAAACACTTGAATGCTACTCGCTGTTTTTAAAAATTTTTGGTAAGATAACGGAAACTGAATAAGAACTGCACGTACCTACCAAGTTCTACGTTGTAGTTGACTGACTAGCTGACCTATTACATTCAATAATTGAAGTGAACATTTACATACAACTTAAGACAGATCTTGTCGAAACAACTCGAATAGAAAGAACTTTCTGGTGTTTTCGAAACACATAAATCTGTAAGGTTTATGCATATAAATAAGGTTTCTATTCTGAGTTAACATAAGTGAATAACCGGACAAATGTGAATTGACCTTGGTTGCTATTATACCATATCAGCACGATATGAGCACCAAACAAGTTGAAACAATAATAGTATAAATGGCTTAGAGGATCTAACACAGGAGTACATTTTGAAAGGTGATGGATTTAAGAAATAAAGATTATGCATTGTATCGAAGCTTATGACTAACGATAACGTAAACATGGAAACTGTGACCGATCCCAAATAAGAAATCTTGGCAAAATTATCGATTTGGTTTTTTTAACACTTGCTTATAGTTTTTTGAATAATTTATATCTTAGTATTATTTACATGTTGAGAACTCCATGGTACTAATGTTGAGAGAAGAGATTGTTGTATGTATGATTCACTCAGTATATAAAAAACCTTTGAAGTCTTGAGACTACTCTCTCATTTGTTATTCATTGAATCACATAAGAATTTACTATCTTTTTTGACTAACTATCGCTATTATGAATAATTTATAATCCTTGTTTTTAAAAAATATAAGCTATGTAAAACTTATGTTGGTTTCATATCCCATATTTAATATTAATAGAGATAGAAATCAACCGGGTGAAAGGGGGAGTTTCGGAAACAATGATATGACTAACAATGAGATTCGTGGAAGAGAAAAGAAAAGATGACGTTAATGAGTAAGGGTTAGTAAACAACATAACGTCGGTTAAGTCGATTGTGAGTCACATTAGTTGGTCATTACCGATATGACCCGGAATGAATAACCACAGACCTAAGATACAATGTCACATTATCTCCAATCATCGATTACGATTGAATCCATGGACTGTAATCAAGAAGCCATTAATTTTCTACATGACTTAGACTATAAATTGTGTGGTATGACATGAACTGATGCAAGTTTTCTGGTTCTAAGTTTCCCATGATTGACTGCGATCATCAATCGGTAATAAAGTTTCACTGTAGTGTTAAGTCAAGTAAATATACATAAAAATTGCTTCGTATGTAATGAAACCTTAGACACTTGCATAGTGTACATATCTATAAATTGAATTTGCTGTAAAACTTTTATGGGTCTACTGGCAACGTAAATTTTGTTTTACGATTGATAGGATAAACTTACTTACCTTTCTTTCCAGGTTTTAATTCTCCACTGGATTTATCTTCATAGTACTCCCTTATATCGACAAATACTTTTCCTCTGAAATCTCTTACGCATGCAAACTTTTTCCCAGTCAAGTCTATTAACTGATCTCCGCCTGATGTAGTTGTGCGTGATGACTTCGTGGAGCCGCCTGACTTGTTAGGTTTTTTGGTTACAACGGGCTAGAAATAACATAAATAATATCTAAAAATACCTCCTCGAGATCTGAGAGGGAAGAGTCTGTTGATTCATCTTTTGCGTTAGATTTACGTTTGTTTGACATAATGGGGTCTGTTAATAGACTGGGAAAGATGCACGCGAGACGACAGGGGTGCAGTGATTAAAACACTGCGATGGAGAACGTGGAGAATCCCGTTATCTGTAAATTTAAATCATAAGGGACATTCAAAACACTGCAGTTTACTTGCGTAGGACTCATATACTATGCGACTAAGTTGCATTTAACTTTACTTATAAATTAGGTTCATTAGATAGGACGCTAGATTTTGCTCAGTAGGCGAGGTTCAAGCTTTCGTATTTTAGTTCGCATATGATTCCTCAGCAGAATTAGCCTGAAATGTGAGGATTTTATAAGTTTATACCATTTGAAAAAATTCTCTTGTTATTTTTTAACCGGTTGGCTTCTATCGGTTTCGTCATAAAACGTCCAATAACCTAAACACACCAGTCTCACTAGTTTCACATTAGTCAGATATTTGCAAGCCTAATGTTCTAGTTCTAAGTGTAAGCGACAGAGAATTTAATTATGAGTCTTCCACTATGAATCAGGTTTACGCTGAATCACTAGAATGGTGTGTCCTTAGCACCACTCTTTGAATCACTGCAAGTGATGGTAGTTACAACAGTAACCAAATTAAGGAACCCCGAAATCATTATGAAATAAACCCTGTCTGAATGACAATAAGAGCCATAATCTTTGATTCATACAGCCTATTTTCAATTACTATATATGTTTAGCCCGTTGATGTATACGAAATGGAGCATATAAAGACATGTGTCAATTAGGACGAACCTTAGCAGTAAACTATCGCGCCGTGTGACTTAACTTGAGAAGGCGCCACAATAAATTGGACAAAGTATTTTAGTCTTTTGTGAAGTAGAACAAACATCACCAAGTCCTTAACCTCAATAATAAATGATTAGACAACCTCTCTTATTCTTTTTAAAATGGTACACTTTGCAAATGTATTTTCGTCTGGACTTACCAGGTGATTATCGATAACTGTAGATAAATATCGGAAGCATTGCAAACTACTTCCTATCTAAAACCAATGTGATACTAAATGACCGCTCCCAGGCCTTTAAGTTCAGATTTATATTTAAAATAAAGACTGAACACCTAATAATGTCCATAAACCCTCGTCTGGGACGAGGTCGAGGAAACTCGACAGGTTTCAGACCTGAAAGTTGATGTATCAGTCAGATGTCCACTCTTCGTTAGGTTCTTGAAGAAAGACAAAGTTTGCGACTTCCTGCAGTGTTTGTACTCCTCGACCCTGAAGTTATATTTTACCCTTTTTATTCCGATGTTTTGAGATACTATCTCCCTTTGAAAAGCTCACCAAAAACCGTCAAACTTGAAAACGCTTGTTGCGGTAGATCAACTTCCAAAATTAATAGCTCTGTAAATCTCTTACATTTGTACCGACATCCTTAAATTCAGGTCACAGTTTTCCTAGCGCCAAAGCAACGGATCCCTTTTCGGCAGCCTCCTTAAACAGCTGTACTTTCTATTTTCCTCGCGTCACAATCGTTGTGTCATTTAATCGTATAACCTGTTTAGGCTTATATGTAAAAAGCGCACAACCTATCGCTCTACAAGGTGAAAAACAGTACAGTTTAAGACATCGTGGCGGCTGGCAGTCTGCTGAGATAAGAACGAACGTTAATCAGATGCTAAATTCTCACTACCGATCGCTAACTGGCAAAAGGAACTGTCTTCGATTCCTACTGTGTTTAAACAAATATCATAAATGAGGTGTGATCAGAATTCTAGAATACTGGTGGAATGATTGATACAATGGTTGTTTAGGACCACTGAACGGTTACAATTTTCATCGTCAGGGTCATTCAAAAAATAGGGAAAACATGTGGTAGCGGTGGTGTATCTAAGAAAGTCTGAACCTGCTTTGGTCTCATTTTAAGTGTTTTAAATTGTAATGGACATTATCGACTGTTTAACCATTAGATGTCGTTCATAGCACAAACAATTATTGTCAATATTTACGTGATGATATAACCTCTCTCAAAATAAATATTTACTGTACTTGGAGGAAAGTTTTCGATGTCCTAACTAAGTCAAAATGTGCCGTGGGAACCTTCTCCATTCTCATTTCTTCATATGAACTGAAACTGAGACACTTGATGAGTATGTACACCATTTATACCTCTTCACATTCCTAACAAATGAATGAGTTTTCGTCACTCACTGAACGGTAGTCTATTGTAAAGTGTTTGACATCAGGAAGTCCAAAATGTCAAGTCGTTAACTATATCTTGTAAAGTGATTATGGCTGTAGCCAAAATTAAGTATCAACTTAAACAACATAATACAGTTCAGTAGAAAACATATAAACTCCATTAAATGTACAAAAAATAGAAATTATAACAAAATACAAATATCAACATCACAAAATGGAATTAAACAGATTACCAAAATATTGAACAGAAAGAGTCAGTAGAAACATATTACAAATCTATACGTGGATGTATTTTCCCAAAACAAAGCCTTCGAAATGGATTCTGAAGTCGCCATGACTAAGTATCAGCTTAAACAACGTCGACATTGGATGGATTGCGGCGGATTTTGTTTACACACTTCATTTGGACTACCAAGAGAATTAGCACATCCTTCATCTACTTCAGAAGATGAAGATGTAAGCTCCTACATAAGCAGGTTTAAGTTGTTGAAATGTTAACCCAGGTAAATCTGTTACTATGCGAGAGCTATCATCTGATGTCCTCGACCTATTCCTTTACGACTTAGCTCACCTGTTTTCATGCTTTGTGACCCATTACATCGACCACTGAACGCCGCATACGAAAGATCCGATAATATTCTCCACCATCAGTTGAGGTGCTAAACTATCAACAAAAAGGTAAATAAAAACAAGATCAGCATCGAACAGGCCTAAACCCCGATGTTAAATGGGATTCCCTTCCCAAATGAACAATAGAACCAAGACGAATACGATGCGAACGTCGACAAATAAAGATCACAACAAATTTTCATTAGTATTCGACAAATGTCGTTGAATGACACGCTCTGAAGAGCATCTAAAGGGCTACCGTACGTGAAACGTTTTATTGGTTTATACTTTTTTCATTTTGTTTCCCACGTTCTAGAGCTATTTGAGTGTATTTTCAATTTTTATTGTGTTTAAAGCAAAATCTTTCCTATATATCCGTAAACTTTTACTAAAAACAATTTTAAGCATGATATTTATACTAAACTTTATTCTCAAATAATGATGTGTTTCCAGGTTATTTTACCGAAAGTTTCAAAAGATCCATGGTATGTATAGTTATTCATACGATAGCATAGTACATATACACATAACTGCGGGATTCGCTCGTTCACATAATCCTCAAGGTATTTCAGTATGGACTTGTATTCCCATCACTTTCTTTTCTAGTACTACTGGAGAAGACATAATCATCAAATCGTGGTTTAAGCGCTCACCACGTTGATCTGATTTGATTTGTCTGTAAACTATCTCCGTCGCGTATGACCTACCAATTGAAAGACATTATTATCCTATTACGAATCTGATTGTTTTTATGTTAAGAAACTGATAACGTTTAAAATCAAGTTGTCCTTGTTCTGACTATAGATTTCCAACAGACTCTGTACTCACCAGTATCGAGTTTTCGGTTCTAGTAGGACATCTGTAGGACAAATTAAATCCTAAAACATTTGGCGGATCGCATCTCAGACTCATTATGTAGGAGCAGGCTTTGCTGTGATTAAATTTCCAAGATCGGCAGATGCATAAACTTTCAACACTGGTGCCAAGCTCATAGGTGAATACCAGCTCGGGTTGACTAGTCACACGTCTGAAACAGCACGATTAGGTACCCCGTACTACGAATCAGTTGCAACCACCAGAGGGCCTCTTAATGTGTTGATAATCTACCAAATATCCAATCGATCCTTCTCAACCCTGACCTGAGTTTCAGATGCGTGATAAAAATGTCTTGCGGACAAAAACATTGTCAGGATTTAAAAATCTGTAAATAATTCAGGTGTTGTTTTCACTGGCAACCTAATGTATTTTAGAAACAGTTTACCATCGCACATCTCAACTCTGGGGATGAAATAGCAAAATAGGAAATGTTTGAGCTTGAGTCGAAACTGACCCAGTATGAATGATACATACATATGCAAGATTAACAAAATAAGTTGATATGGAGATGTTAAATATTGCATATTTATTCAATATGAACAGGTAGATGAGCTTTAAACTCACGGAAAATTTTCCTATCCGTTCCACCCTTCTCACAGGTGCATCTTGAAGTTTACAACGTCTTCGCACCCGCTCTCCTGAAATTGACATAAATCTCCTTGAACAAGTGTAGAGACGACCAACTAATTGCGTGACATGGTTGGAGGATAAACCTTATGAAGACCAACTCAGGCAATTAGGATAATACCCAATGAGTTACCGAATAACATATTAAGTGAGCTGAACCAATCCACCATGAGCATATTTCCAGAAAATCACCACCATGCCCCTAGAAGTAACCTTTGAAAAATTAGTCATCGAAGGGCAAACACCTACGTTTGTGAACTCTTTCACACATTTAGAGTTGTCGCGACTCGGAACGATCTCCTAACCAAGGTAACCAAGGTCGATAATTTTAAGAAGAGACTTACATACGGATCGTTATCTTGCTTAAGAACTAGCTCTGGCTGATGTATATCACTAACTTATTCTATCTCTTTCATTCTCTGTTTTGTCCCCATTGCTTACACATCTATCCTCACACAAAATCTTCACTACCGACTGATCTATTTATTTAATTTTTACTTAGCACTGAAACCTCATTAGCATTAGAGCTTTCTTATTATTATTCTCCAAATTGTGACTAAATTATCTTCAGCCGAGTCACTTGATATCTGCTGGTATCCAGAAACCATACTGCCCTTAGACTAACGTATTCCCGCAGATCTCGGGACATGTAAATTCATAAATAACAGCCACCTGTCTAGAATCAGTGCATTTGAACGGCTATAAATTACTAAACACCTGAAAGCATATCAAAAAATCAAGAATCGAGCGAAAGGTAATGAATTAGTTTGATCTAACTCATAAAATAGATATTTGATATTGCACACTCAATCGCATAGTTTACGACAGTGGGCTTCACTGACCCACTACTATCTTGACTCAGGAACTACCTTGAGAATAAAAAGTTTCGTACCATGATAAATAGTGCACGAGAGTTGACGAGTCTCAACACCAGGAGTTTTACAGGGGACCGTCTTAGGTCCACTTCTCTTCCTGATAATTATTCACGACCTGCTAGACACAGTTGGCTAGTCGGCATTGATCCACGCAGACGATGCAAAGATCTGGTGGTCCATTAGCAGCGGAGAGGATTCGAATGAACCTCAAAAGTAGGTTAAACCCATTAAGGAATGGGCAGTGAAAATGGTTTGTAACTAAACGAGCCGAAATGTTTCGTAATATACATTCTACTCCACATGACGCAAACGATTCACAGCCTCAATGGAGTTCCTCTCCCTAATGTCTTCTCACGTACTGAGATCGGTCTAATAACCACAGAAATCCTCCGCACAAGCTAGAACTATATAACGGACGCTGCCGAGGCTAATGCAATTCTTCACTTTATGCGGCGAAAACTTGGTGCTATCACCCCAGAATTATTCACGACGCTGTCTCAGACATACGCACACTTTGAGTTTCACAACATCGTCGCACCCTCTTTTCTTAAAAATTACATAAATTTCTTGGACCAAGTGCAGAGACGAGCAACGAAATGGGTTATAGGGTTAAAAAATAAAACTTAAGAAGATAGGCTCCAGCATTTGGGATTATTTCCCTTTAATTAAAGGAGAATCAGAGGTGATCTGGTTATGGCTTACAACATATCAAGCACTCCAAACGGTCCAAACGTGAGCACACTACCAATGCGTCACCACCACTCTCCTCGAGGCAATCCTCAAAATATTGGGGAATCAAGGAACGGATAATCAAGTTCGTGCAGACCTTTACTCATTAAGGGTCTCTGCAACTTGGAATGTTCCCCCAGACAAGGTGACCATAGCCCCTTCAGTGGATAGCTTTAAAAAGAGACTTGATAAACAGGTACACACATACCGATCATCATCTCCCCCATGGACAAGTTTCGCCTGATGCATATTTAGAGACCGACTAATTGTTACTATTTCCGTTACCTAAGATCAGCACTTAATATATCCCGCTTATAATCTCTTTATTCTCTCCAGTGCTTACACTTCCTCTCGCACCATCCTCACTGCCAATTAATAAACTAAATTATCTGTTTACTCAATTAGTTCTGAAATCTCCCTTCAATTAGCATTGGAATTCTATCATTACTGTTAGCCACATTGTAGATAAATGACCTCTGGTCTGATAATGTGATAGCTGATGGTATCCAGAAACACCAGTGCCCCTAAACATATGTATTCATTCAAATCACAGGACATACAAACTCTCAACACCTACCGACTGATTAGAATCAAGAAGCCGAGTGTCTAGACCCTCATTAAGTGGACACTACCAAACACATGGAACCGTACCGACAGAACAAGAACCGAGAGCAAAGAAATCAATTGGTTTAAACTAGTTCGTGAAAGAGATATTGGATATTGTAAGCCGCGTTGTTTGAGATTGGGTCGCTGATCAAGATGCTAGCTTGCTACCAATGTAGAGTTTTTTCTGCACGATCATTTGCAGGAAGTATCATACCAATTTGTCGCACTATTACTCAAGATCATGCTCTAAAATCTGCAAAACTTGGAACTGGTAATGTGATTACTAAAACCACAATTAGAATCATATAGTTTATCTTATATTTTATGTATTGCAGGCCTTATTAAGGTCAGCTACAATTTTCATTTCTTAATCCTGACATTATAAGCATTGTTATTACATGGTGCAACCGTATTATAATTGAGTAGTAAAGTATTACTGCACAGGAATAGGGATACATCTAATGGTAATATATATGAAGAAGAAATTTAGGTTACTTGGGGATTGACTCATCCTTATAAATTTCACGAAATAACGAGCTGCTTGCTAGAAAACATGTAGTTAAACTGTGTGTGCATATATTAATAAATTATGTAGTGCAACCAATCCCCAATCTCTCAATTTTATGAAAATTCCGGCAGATTTCGTAGGAGTCTCAAGAAAATTCTGGGTTCTAAATGAAGGTTTTGGAAATTGACCCGATTTCTGTGGAAACTTTGAGGTTATTATTTGCATTTCCTCAAAATTCAGGGTTTATCGTTGGAGCTTCCCAACATTCAATGGAATTTTTCCTAAAGTTGGGAAATTAGATCCTTCAGCATATTTTTGATTGAAACGTCTACGAAATTCAAAAATTGTCTTGGCTTGCTAATTCTCCTTCCTTATGACCTATTTTTTGATGTTTTACTTCGGTGGAAGTGATAAACGGCTTTTTGATACAAATAGCAAACTGTTAATCTTTAGTCAATCGAATAATTACAATTAATTTTTATTGACAAGAATCATTTAATGTCTATGAACACCACCCTGTCAAATTTATTTCACTAAGCTACTCTATGCTGCTTTATTACCATCGAACGTCTTGTTAGCGAAGACATGAATACACTGTATTTGGTTTCTAAGGGAAGCCTACATATTTTAGAACGACAGAGTAAGTAGTGGTGTGATGGAGCGCAAGTTTCCTACTGACGTCATACAAACTAAATGGCCTTATTTTATCAGTGCACGTTGTTGGTTAGAGTAAGTCGCAAAAATATCATGTTCAGTTATAGCATTATATATATATATATCTGTTTATGGGTCTAGACTTGGATTTTAATATTCAGATGTTATCGTTATTCTTGATAAAAACACTACTGAACATTCGCAGTCGCTTTTCGTTTTTGAGTTCCTGAGGTAGTTGGACACAATATTACTGAATTTCGGTCCATCACTGTAGTGATCGTTTTCCATATTGGTCATATAAAGTCGGTAAAATACATTTCAAATAATAGGTTGCATGGTTGTCCGTCAAGTTAAATGAAAAACGGTATTTTGATAACCTATTTCTCGTTTACAACCATAATGTTGATTGCTTCATACCTTTTCACTACCGTCCTGCACCAAACATTTGCCCTCTCAAAATCATTTACCTATTTGTACCTTTATTATACAGCTCCAGCTGTTCAAAGAACTGGCCTGTTACCATCTTATCACTGGACATTTGAACGTGTTCTAGCTGTTGGTATGTTGCCATTGTATCCTATCGCACTTTATATGGATACTCCTATGATGAATTTTATAGTGGTGACAGCTGTATCTATGCATTCGTACTGGTGAGTTATGGTACCTTACTACTTAATTTTGTGTATTTTTGTTTGTGATATTTAAGTAACTTCTTATATGAGGTTTATGGGCTTTGAAAATTTTACCATTCTTAAAGCACACCATTTGTTTTCATCCGGAACCAACTTCTTCTGTAAGTAGACAGTCTCTTTATACCAACTGTTGAAACAATTTGCATCCTTTAATTGTGTCTATGCTCAATTTTAATACTGCTTTTATAAACGGTTTTATGCACAGTTCCTACCATTTGTTTTAGGTACTACCTCGTTTACATCAGTACACTTGTAACTTGATTATCGTACAACATTTTATTCACTCCAAATGACTCGATACATTTTGAGTGAATGGTTCTCAGCCCCAATGAAAGTCTTGAATTTTTTCTCACTTTTTGGTCTTCCTTTAAGCTCTACATGATTATTAGGTAGTCCATTTGTGTACTTCATATGTTCTTTGGCTAGAGTCAAAATTCCATGAGATGACTCTCTGATATAAAAGACATCACAATCAACGCCCTAGTTTGTAGATGCAGTTCTGTATTGACGTAAAGAGGATCCTTTCCTTTATTCGAATTAAAGCGCTTGGAAGTGTGTTAGTTGATTTGTAATGCATTATAATTCTGTGTTGTCTTATGACTTTGAAGTTATTCTGTTGTGCCATGGTAGTATGGTAAAACTACGGTGCCTATCCATGGTCTTTTTTAGTAGTTTACTAGATAAAGATCGTTTACTTATTTTCTGATGTGGCTTACCCTGAGTCACCAAACGTCAGAAAAAATTTGACTTCTCTACTCTTTAGAACACCACAAATATACTATTTATAGCACATAGGTGCTTGTAATGATTTTAACCCCAATTGGTTATTGACCAAAAGTCATTTAACCCTCACCTATAATTTCGCTATGATTAATTTCCAATGGCTCTTTATAAATTATATGGAATTAGTGTTTTACGTATTATCTGTATTTATATTGGGAGCTGATTTTACCCGTTCATCTTGCAACAGTAAACTCTATTTAATGATTGCTAAAATATCATAAATATTAAAATCGGTACTATTATTTACTATTTCCACCCCTTGATTCTCACCAAGTCAACTTCCACATGATTTTCTGACTAAGTTTGTAATGAGGTTAATAATCGATGAATCTTCATTGACAGGCGTAGTTGGAGAATTTGTTACGTATCCCTAATCACCTACGTACGCTCAATTCTGACTGGAGTGAGAATTGGTTAAAATTAAACTAAGAGTGATTAAATAATGATCTGTAGTGAGCCCATGAAGTCTTTAACTACTGTTTGATTGCGGTCAACGTGATAATTTCAGTTTGAGATTGGGGATGCTAGGTAACGTTGTTCAATATCGATCACAACAACGCAGATGCTTTAATTCTCAACCTTACTCCCCCCAAGACCTTAGTCTTCAATATTCTTTCATGCACCCATGTCTTGCAAACCATATTTTCACTATTATGATGTCATTATTGCTAATAAAATTAATAGTTCAACTACTGTGCTACTTGTCTTATTATTTTCCTGTTGTTCTGCTAATATGGTACGCCAACTTGGATTGTTGCTCATATGTTCCAGGTTGTATGTTTATTATGAATGTAATGAACTCATGTTTTGTATATCTGTTGCTAAATTTATTTTCAACTGAATTTCGTATATACCATCATCTTATTGAATTAAATTAAAGTATGTAGCGACTTAAGGTTTTAATTGTAATTTTTTCATGTTCACTTTAGGGGATTTGACGGTGTAATAAAAGACTATGCATTTGAACGTCGTTATGGTCCTGCATTGATGCCTATATTGCGAACATTGTGGAAATTAATGGCTGGTTGCGGTTTTGCTGGCCTTTTATATTTCAACTTTAATGATGTAGGATTTATTTCAGCCGTAAAGAAATTATGGGCTTTATGAAAATATTTTTAGTACTATTACTTTTACTTTTCATTCTGATATTTTCGGGACTTATATTATTTGGTTTATGAGCTGAAGTCATTAATTACTTTTGTGAATTGTCATGTTATCCTTTGGTACCTAAATTTATAGTGAAACTAACTATCAATAAATGTGTTTAGTCGAATGAAATTTTCGTTTTTCAACTGTATTAAGACAACTGTCAATTTTGTACAGCAACTCAAAGAAATCAGACTTTATTTTATATAATAGAAAACCTTAAGGATTTACTAAGTAACCAAATAGATTTGGTTATTGATCCTATATTTGTTATCGACTTTCATTGGTTGATAAATTGGGTCAATGTCTGTGTTTGTTGATTGCTGATTGGGCTGAGTGCCAAAATTATCTCCTATTCCTTGTACTGCCTATATCCAGTATTTCACCATTTTTCCAACCGAATGTATGTATGTTTGTCCAAAACGTGCGTCACTTATGGCGTCGGCAAAATATCCGTCTTCTAAACAAAGGACGACTATACTGTGCATCAGTTTGCTCCGTCTCACTATACGGATGTGAAACATGGCCATTAAGTGTAGGGGATATTCGTAGGTTACAAGTATTCCATCACAGGAGTCAGTCAGTTACAACGTAGAACTTCGTACGTACGTACGTGCGTCAGTTCATGTTGCTGTACCGCAATAACACAGAGGTGTAATCGTCAATTCAAAACTCATAATAATATCTGTAGTAAAGGCATTAGCAGTAATCAGAGAGATTAGCGTTCGAGGATATTATTCAAGAAGTATAATATAGTGAAATAAACTTAAAAAGAAAAATTGATAGGGAACTAAAACAAAAGTATGGATGCACCCGCGCCACTGCAAACGATTTTCAGACACGTCATTCTGGGTCTCTAACCATCGACCACAATCTCGCGGGCTCTAACCAGGTAGTCGAGATTTAACGACATGGCTCAGTCCACTGTCAGTGACTTGATGGATTTCTGCCATGTTTTGGTCTGGCCGCTCCTAGCTTTCTTCCAGCCAATTCCTACACCGCAAAATATAGCTCGACGAGGCAATCGGGGGTTAGGCATACGTAATACATGTCCCAACCACATCAACTGATGAAGTCTCAAAATTTCATCTATTGATCTCCCATCCTTACCTAGCACCCTTTTCCTAATAACGACATTGCTTACTTGGCTGTCCCAGGATATACAAGCGATGCTTCGAAGACACCTATAATCGAATAATAATAATCTACGAATATCTTCTACTTCAACCGTCCGTGATTCGCATCCATGTAGTCTGTCATATAGTAGGACAGGGCGAACTGATGCGTAGTACACTCGACCTTTGGTTAGCAAACGGATATCTCGTCTACGCCATAAGTGACGAAGGTTGGCAAAAGCCAATCGAGCTTTCTGTATCCGTGCTGAGATCTCTTCAGTCACCAGGCCATCAGCACTGATGAGACTCCGCAGATAAGTGAAGCGGTGAACACGCTCAAATACTTCACTCCTTACCACTAGTTCCGGTGCCAATGCGACCCAATCTTGAAGCAACATCTTGCATTTCGAGGATGAGAACCGCATCCTGAACATGCTTGCATTGTTGCTCAGGGTGGTCAGAAGACTCTGCATTTTGTTAGCGTCTTCACCGAATAGAACTGTCATCGGCATATTCTAGGTCAATAAGCGAACCTCCTGGTAGGTCTACTCCTGAAAATTCAGACGAAGATGATGTTAGATGTAGGAGCATGTCTATGACAAAATTGAACAAGAATGGAGAGAGTGACCCGACCGTAGCTGCTACCTTGACGTGGTGGTCGGGTTTGCCTATTGTGATGACCCAACCGAGCTATACTGGCTGGAACATATGTTCCTGCAGGTCCTACCATGCCAGGCAGGTCGATTGGAGAACGATGAGACTAAAAGCAGCTACTGAAGGTCTGAGGGTGAAGTCGTACTGCTGACTGCAGAGGGGTGTGACAGCAGTAAGGTGTTTCCCTCGAACAACCAGCATCTGCAGCGATGCTGCCCTCTCACAAGGAAGGAAGGGTTAGAAAAAGTCGACCCTAAAAATGTCACACCTCACCTTACCTCACGGATTTCCGTCTCCTTGGGTAAGGGTGCCCACTAAGGGCCTTTAAGAACGGAGCTAATCTTCAAAAAGCGTCTCATAAAAAGGCCGTGCGTGACTGGCCTCAAGCAGTTGTCTCTTGGGCTCTGCGGTGACGCACCCAGGTCTCTAAGACCAACACTAATCTATTTTTTTTTCAGGTTCCTCAAGAAACAACCTTCCACGGTGTGGGCAGCCGGGAAGTGACAACCGCCCTCATACCCGTAACAGCACGCGAGACCAAGTTGGTCAAAATCAAATCCTTCCTACACCCCCTAGTACCTCTCTTATCTCCACGACTAACTCTTCTCACATTCATTTATCACAGTGCACAGCTAATGCAGACGACACGAGTTCGCGAAACGTCGTTCCTGGTCTCCTTAAACCCCGCTCTAGACTACATGTTGGAGCTTTTAATGTACGGACATTGTGTCAACTAGGGCAACAGGCATCACTAGCTAGGACTTTAGAATCTCGTGCCATCGATGTATGCTGCGTCTCGGAAACGCACATACAGGATCCTAGTAAAATTATAAATCTGATTTCACCTTGTCAAAATAAAGATCAGCTCGATTTACTCTTCGTGTACCCGGTAGCCCTGATACTGCTTCCAGGGGTCTTGTTGGCGTAGGCATAGGATTGAGTCGTAGAACTGAACAATCTCTCCTTGACTGGATCCCAGTAAATAGTCGCTTGTGCGCTGTCCGACTAAATGGGACAGTAAGGACTCGGTAAGATAGGGACACTCGTCGTTGCCTCTTCATCGTATCTGCCTATGCCCCCACTGACTGCAGTTCAGACGAGGTTAAAGATGAGTTTTACAGTAAGCTTTCGGACCTCCTCCAAAAAGCTAGGCGCTCTGATATAGTATTAATGGCTGGTGGCTTTATTGCTTAAGTAGGTAGACTAAGTGAAAATGAAAGACACCTAGCTGGATGTTATGGTGTCGCGGCTCAGAGAAAAGACAATGGCGACCGTCTGTTGCAAGTATGCTCAGACAACCACCTATTCTTAGCAAACACTAACTTTAGGCATAAGGAAAAGCATCTGTTGATCTGGCGACCTCCAAAGTCGTCTCAACGTTGTACGCAACTAGATCACATCGCCATCAGCCACCGATGGAGGGGTTCGATAGAGGACTGTCGCTCGTTCTGGGGCACATGTTTAGATTCAGATCATGCCCTAGTGCGAGCGCGTATTTGTTTGAAGCTTACTGGGCATAGGAAAGACACCGTAAGAAAGCCTCTTAGGGTTTTACTAAATGATAATAAGGCGAAAAATATATTTCAGGAACAACTAGAAAGACAGTTAGGCGACCATTTAAGCGATTCCCATCCGGAAGCAGATTGGAATGATATCAAAAGGGCTGTGGAAACAGCAGTGATATCTGCTAGTAAGGTTGACTATAAGGGTAGAATGAAGCCGTGGATCTCAGTAGCATCCACCGATCTGATGGATGCCCGAAAACTCATCCCACCTAGCTCTGAACATGATGAAGAACGAAGTCAACTTAGGCGCAGACTTATGAAAAGCCTACGTAACGATCGCGAACAGTGGTGGGTGGCGAAAGCAAAAGCGATGGAAAAGGCAGCGGCGATCGGCAACAGTAGACAACTTTTCCGACTTATCAAGCAAACTGGTGTCCACTGGATGTCCACTTTCTCCATTTTTGTTTAATTTTATCATACACATGCTCCTAGAAATAACCTTATCCTCGTCTGAATTTTCAGGAGTAGACCTTTTACCAGGTGGCTCGCTTATTGACTTAGAATATGCCGATGACATAGTCCTACTTGGTGAAGACGCTGACAAAATGCAGAGTCTTCTGACCACCCCAAGCAACAATGCAAGCATGTTCAGGATGCGGTTTCCCCCCTCGAAATGCAAAATGTTGCTTCAAGATTGGGTTCCATCGGCAGCTGAACTAGTGATGGGGAGTGAAGTAGTCGAACGTGTAGACCGCTTCACTTATCTTGGGAGTCTCATCAGTGCTGATGGCCTGGTGACTAACGAAATCTCAGCACGGATACAGAAAGCTCGATTGGCTTTTGCCAACCTTCGTCACTTATGGCGTAGACGAGATATCCGTTTGCTGACTAAAGGACGGGTGCACCGTGCGGTAGTTCGCTCCGTCTTACTTTATGGCTGTGAAACATGGCCAGTGATAGTAGAAGATATTCGTGTGTTACTGGTTTTCGATCATAGGTGTCTTCGAAGCATCGCTCGTATATCGTGGGACACCCGAGTGAGCAACGCTGTTATTAGGACACGGGTGCTAGGTAAGAATGGCAGATCAATAGATGAAGTAATGAAACTTCATCAGTTGAGTTGTTTGGGACATGTGTTGCGTATGCCCAACCACCGACTGCCTCGTCGAGCCTTGTTTTGTAGTGTAGGAATAGGTTGGAAGAAAACTAGGGGCGGCCAGACCAAAACGTGGCAGAAATCCATGAAATCATCGACGAGTGGACTTAGCCATGTCGGTAACTGTCGACTACCTGGTTGGGGTCAGCGAGATGATAATAATCGATGGTTAGATACCTTGAATGACATGGCTCAAAATCGTTCGCAATGGCGCCGGTGCATTTATTCTTTGTGTTCTCTCAAATCCTAATCTTCTGGATTCTTCAACACCTCTAGTTTTAACTTTCTAAACTTTTCTCATTTAATCATACTTCTTGAATAATATCTTCTAATCCTAACCTCCCCGATTACTTCTAATACCCTTACTAACTCTTCTACTATTGGATTTGAATTGACAATTACATCTCTGTGCTGATGTGGTATGGCGACATGAGCTGATGTACTTACGTACGAAGTTCTACGTTGCAACTGACTGACTGACTGGAGAGAGTGAACATCCCTGACGGACACCACTTGAAGTAAAGAATCCCGATGACAGTTCGCCATAAGCTGTCAGTCGACCTGTAGTGTCCGAGTTGAGAGCTTGTATAAGGTTAATGTGCTTCTCTGGTACACCTTTCAATGACAGACACTGCCACAGAACCTCACGATCCACACAGTCAAATGCCGCTTTTAGGTCCAGGAAAGCAACTATTGTAG